TACAAATCAAATGCAGCAGTCTGAGACCTGAAAAAGGAGGTAGGACTGAAAACTGAGAGAATACTGGCTTTGAAAATAGTTCTGCATTATTTATGTAGGAATTCCACTGGAGTTAAAAAATCTAAAAAACAAACACAAGTTAGATTCTTGGAAGAAAACCCAATTAACAACGTCAGATCAGAACAGGATAACATTTTGGACAGGGTTTGCAGTTTACAGAGAGGATTAGCTGTGCTGAGGATCAAATACAGAACAGAAATAGGATTTGTAAGCTGTGTTTTTACCCTGAAAGCAAAATATAATGTGATTAATTGTAAACTGGTATGTTGCAGAGTATATGCACAATGGTCCCTTAGTAATATCTCCATCACAGTCCTTAATATTGAACTGCTCCTCTGAGTGGGAAACTCAGACAGAGTACCAGGGCTCTTACTCCTTACTCTTTCTGAGAGGGGTTTTAAAGTCCTTGTCCTAGACCAGAGGTGGATACTATGGATTAAGAGACAATGGCCCGTTCTTTCAGAGGAAGATGTTTCAAAAGCTGCAGAACTGTATTCAGGGAAGAAACCAGTCCCACAGAAGGGACCTTAGGGCCGGGAACCAGACATCCCCATCGAGTCATGCTGTCTTCCTTTGCAGCCAATGCATGCATGCTTCATCAAAATATTATTTCCACTCCAAAAAGCCTCAGTTATTATTCATTCTGCTTTCCCCTCCTTTGCTTCACATTACTGTCCAAGGCAGGCAGACAGCATTCTCCACTTGAATTAAATGTCTGTTTCTTGGTCTTGATGGAGACTCATTGAGACAATCAAGATAAGCATTCAGAGAAGATGAGTTTTCCTGCTATTTTTTTCTACACATGGTAGAAGATTTGCTGAAAGTAACAGGACAAAAATATGAAGTAACGTTAACTCTCAAATAGAGGAAAAGTATTGTTTGCAGATGCTGCCTCAATTTTGAGGAATACATTCCTTTCCTTTTGGCACAAACCCAAGAGAAATGCAATTAACAGGGTTTATATGTGGCTGGTTTTCTTCATGGCATTTAGTCATTAATCTGCAAGCTGAAGCAGAGGCCTCTGTTTCTCTTTCCCATGCAGTGTATCACTACTGTGACTCTGTTTACACATCATTTTGGCTCTGTCTTTGCTTTCAGAAATGATGCTGGCAACTCAGTGTCTTTTGTTGACCAGTCTTGCAGGAGGGTCTTGTACCAGCAGGCAATACTAGAGTCCCTTTGTCCACTCTTTCTCGCAGGAGGCGTCAAGAGCTGCATCCCTGGCTTTTTTGGGCTATATTGACTTGAATGACTATGTACTTTTTTGACATGTATTTTAGGGACACAAACCTGTCTGTGTATGATCTTAGCCCATTACCACAGCTGTAGAAACTGCTGTGGTCTCCTGTATTTAGCCTCTGTTGTATTTGGCCTCTGTTATGCTCCATAGCAAGGGCTCAGTCCTATCCTAAGCGATGATATCTTCCAGCGCCAGGCATTAATACAGGGAGTGAGGTGCTATGAGACACGTCACAGCAGTGGATTGCTACCCAGGCATAGGAACAGGGACCTAAGAAAGGTGATGACTGTGGGTCAGTGACATTTGAGACAGGTTTGAAGGCAGATGAAGTCCCTCAGTGCTGATTGTGGGTCTGGATCAGAGCCACAAACAACACCAGAAAACTGTCATCATGGAGACCCAGGCTGAACAACAATGGCTTCGGGACATCTGCCCAAGAAGTACATCTTCACAGGATGGGATAAGACGGTCAGTTATGCAGCTAGTGCCTACAGGGTTCTCCACAGTCAGAGCTGCAGGTCAACCATCTTCCCTGGTCACGGGAGAAACCATGTGTCCCAGATGATGGAAGTATGGCTGCAAGCCAAGCTGTCACTCTACCGCCTTCATGCTGTTAATGTCCCTGCAATGATAATGGACTTTGGGCAAATAGGATTCCTATACTGTGCTGGTCCCATCAATAGTATGCAATACCACCCTCCTGTCTCTCCAAAATACATTCCAATCATACTCCATCAGCACAACTGGCATCAACTCTGTTGGGAGCATAAACCTGCGGCAGGAACAGGAACAATTGCGTATTACTGGGAAATGTGTGAGGCTGGCTCCTTTGTTTCAGAACAGGAGGGAGTTTGTCAGAAAAGCTCAGTAGGCTGAAATAGAAGTAAACTTTAGTAGCACTCTTTTACTATTTTAGTAGCACTCTTTGATTAAAAAAAACCAACCAACCAATCAAAAAATCTCAAAAACCTCAAGCAGCTGAGGACAACCATCCTGAGATGAGTGGTATCAAAGTGCAGTGGGTAATTCATGAATCCACATTTAGCAAACTTAAGTAAAAATGCCAAGCATGGAAAAGTAAAAAGCATGTACAGAGATAGCTCACAATCTAGGATCTACATGTTTTGCTTCCCACACTTTCACTACGACATGGTGTAAAAAAAGCATTGAGATCCATCCTCAATGCACTGAAAGCTCCTGCTGCTTTCTATGAGTCAGGCCAGCTTTCTTACCTTTAATGTTTTTTGATTTTTTATTCTTTTAATCTTTTCCTCTCTTATCTGTCCTGGTCAATAATAATTGATTTCCAGAATAAGAAACCTCAATACCTTAAATAGCGCTCTGGCACATCACAAGCCTTTAACCTCTGTTCAGCCTCAATTAACATCATCTGCTTGGTTACTGCATGTACCAGTCGTTGTACCCTTCAACACCCTGTCAGCCAATTTTAGCAGTTATCACTCCAACGGGATGCTGTAATCTGCTAGATGTGGGGTTTCGGTCCTATCTGAACTCAACTTGCTATGTTTTATTGCTTTGATTGCTGTTGTATTTAATAACCAACAGTCAATCACTGGGCAAAATAGGCTTTTAAAACACACCTGGGCATTCATCCCACTCAGTTCCCTGGTAGCAGTTACTAACTATAGCAGCAATCAAGTGCCTTGATGTTGTATGAAGTAAAGGTATTGCCTGGTATAATCTCATCCAGGTTGGAAAACAGGAGATGGGTGTGCATGCACATATTGGTCACAGTCACTTCTTGAGGTGACCAGTACCATCCTCTTCTCTACCACAAAACCCCTGATGCTTCATGCAAGAGTAAGAGTGTTCCTCACTGCCAGTGAAAATTGAGGTCTGAAGCCTTGCTTCAGCATCGTCTTGAGCATCGGTGCATCACACCCCAGGTACAGTAGTTGTTGGCCAGATGTTGCAGTGCTGTCCCTACTTTGTCACGTCCCAGGCTGTGAGCAGGCATTACCAGCTCCTCACTGGCAGAGCATCCTGCAGGTTCTCCCACTGCTTCCCCATTGACAGCAGCAGAGGTCTGGGTCAGCACCATGCAACACTTCCATGTGAGGGATTTCCCCTGGTGTCTGAAAGGCATCTTAGAAACGACACATGGGAACAGTGTTACTGCAGTGCTATTACAGTTTAGGAATTAAAGCACTCGGAGGCCAAGGCTGCTGGAGTAAGCCTCCAGGCTTAATTAACTCCTGGCACCCACACCTTTCAGAAGAGTCTTAATTGGATGATGACATGTTATTTTTCCAGCATAGTCCTCACCAGTCTGAACTGCTTGATCCAGGGAGGGTGACAGCATTCCCCACTGCCTGCAACCCTGGTGCCCGCAGCCACTCTCTCTTCCTGCCAGCATGAGGCAGGGAAGGGAAAACAAACCATTGGAAGGCCATCCTGGGTGGCACATTCCTCTTTTTCTGGGTCAGCAGCCTCAAGGCTGATCTGTGACCATGCACACTACCCATGCCCACTGCCCATGCCCTTGATGGACAGCAGTAGAAATGTGCCTGAGAATGTGGGATGCTATGGGTGGTTGGGAGGAGGTGGAAAATAGTGTTTCCAGCAAGGCACTCACAGAGAGAGGAGACTTTTGGCCTTGATCTCCCTATGCATCAGACCTCATCTGCGAAATACCACTTTTCTTGCTCCTCCCGAGCTTTGCCATTAGGTCTTCACAAGTCCCTCTGAGCTTCTGCATTCTGAACCCAGAGGGTAGGTGGCTGTTTCTTCTTGGAGTATGCCCCATTAATAACAGCATCCCCCAGACAAATCAGCCCCACCACTTGCTGTTGCCCCTGGCTTCAAAAAGGTGAGCTGGACTTGACTGCAGTGAGGCTTTTACTTTCCACAGTAGAATTAAAGCCTCCACCGTAGTAAATCAAAAGCAGAGGGGCTTTCAGCCCCCCACCCTGGCTGCAGTAAAGCTTCTCAACCAGGAAGCACCATCACTCACGTGTCCTAATGGATGCAGGAGTGTTGCAGAAATCGTGGCAAGGGGTCATGTCATTGAGGGCTGTATCACAATGGGATCATGGGGATGTTGTACTCTTAGACGTGCTGCTATAACTGTCTTCTCTGCATAGGGGCTGCCTGGCATGTGCTGGGCAGGGGGATGTTCTGGGGTAGATGGGTAGATGGTAGATTCAAGGTCCAAGTTCTGACCTAACAGCAGGAATGATACAGCCTTAGAGTCAGCAGGAAATTTGGCACAACCTGGGGGAAAATGGGACAAAACTCTGTCAGTTTAAACCTAGCTTAAGCCGGTATAGCTCAAAAAGCAGTGCCCTTTTGTACCATTCAAGGACCTCCCCAAATCTGGACTGTTTTCTTCCTAAATCTGGGCTCTTACATCCTTAAATTCGCAGTTGTTCTAATCCTGCAGCAATACTGCATTCTGAGGAACCTTTTGCTCTCAGTTCACATATATTACTGCTCTACTTCTGAACAGTGCAATTAGGTCTCCAGAGCTTGCTCGCTTTATCAAAAAAGACACAGGTATTAAACAGGCGTAGAGAAATATTCCAGCTCTCAAGTCAAATCAGATAATTGAAATAGTAGGATAAGCCTTAAAATTAGCCCAATTCATGCCTGAATAGAGATCATTTCTCCCTGGGAACTAACTGTGCTTTCTTTTCTTTGTCTTCATGTTTTTTTCCTCTGCTGCTGTTCGGTTTGGAAGGTGATCTTTAGTAAATACTGCAATTCCAAAGATATTATGGATCTCTTCTGCATTGCAACAGGGTTACCAAGGTAGGTCTCTCTTCATTTGTGACATTCATTTCACTCTTGTTCCTTTACTTCTGGGCACAATTTAAAGGCAGGCCCCAAATGATTAATTTATCTGCTATTCAGGCTTTCCTCTCATTCCAGTCTACTGGAGGAAGAAATTGAGGCAATCCAGAGAGCACCAGCTGGAAAAGTGCATGAAGCCCAGACAAGAACTGAGCCACCTCAGTGCCATCTGCGCCTGGGGAACAAAGCGGAATAGAGTAGAATAGAAGGGATATGAGCTAAAAAAAGTAAAAACAAGTGCAGAATCCCTGCTGCGAGTGCATTTGAGTTATAACCTCTCAGTTACAGCTCAGCACTATATTTTTGCCCATATTGAGTGAAATGCAACCATAATTTTAGAACCTGGTTTTTAGGGGAAAAGTTTGAGCCAATGAGAAGCATTGCCACTAGATGATAAACTTTCTATTTAGATACAGTACAATCTAATCCCAGGTATGGGATAGCCAAGCATGAAGCACCTGGCTAGAATAATTTTATAGAACTTAAATATCACCAAATCCATTGCTCAGGCCAAGTATTTCCTACTTTACACTGTCCTGCAAAGTCCACGCATCTCCTGTAGGGTTTGTTTTTCTTAGCTTCTACCTAGAAAGCAGCATCTAACTTAAATCTCTGTGTTGAGAGAGATCCAGGATCAGGTGTAGGTGTGTGTTGTGGTAGGAGATGCCATTATGGGAGGCATGGTATAGTACCAGCCACTTCTGTACCACCTGTCCAGGGCAGTGGTACAGGGGGAGGGAAGCCCCTTAGTCACATCTAGAAGGAGGCATCTGCTGTCTGCATACAGACTTCGAGCAACACAGTCCAGATGCACAACAGCATGCAATAAGCCACTGTTTTTACCTTTGTACACACAGGTTTACAATACAGAAAAGGCACAGAGTAAAAAAACCCCTTTAATCATGGGTTTATTGCATGGTTCCAGCTCTGGGGATTGAAAGATAAAATTGTCTATATTGACTGAGAATTTGCATAAGCTGCTCGAGAGAATTAATGCCCTTTGCTGTTTATCCTGGCTACTTCCTCCCATTGAATATTAGAGAAGTTAGTAAGTCTCATTTGCCTGTGGTGTCAATTACTTTCACTCCATCACCCAAGAAACTTTGTCCAGCAGTTTTAGTGCTTCATGATCAGGGTGTTCACTGCATATATGGCACTTTGTTTTCATCAGAAGACTTCCAAAGAATTGTGCATGTCAACCAGGCTCCTGGAGCCAAAGTAAACCTCCAAAGTTTACATCTAAGCCTGTGAGATCACACCTAGCATAGTATAAAGAACAAACAGTAAAAAAACCACCCCATATTCAGCAAGACATTTGTTTTATTTGCTTTGGTAAGAGAGTAACTAAATAATTTCAAGACATTCATAGCAGCGGTAGTCATTTGTATAGTGGGAGTCAATACATAGCTGCCAAGTCAATGTATCACAAAGCATAGCTTTTTAACAGAAATTAATAGTTGATGAGTCAACAGAACACATGAGTTAGCAGGGAGCAAAATCTGCTCTGAGATCAATGATGATCTCAACGTTTTGCCAGAAACATCTCTGGCAGTTGAAGTGGGTGAAGCATCAAGCCTACCCTGTCTTGTGCTTTGACCCTTTCTGCAGCAAGCTAGAATGGGTCAGAGACAGTGCCAGGCCAGGAGTGCTGCAGGAGAGAAGATGGCTGTGTGCTGTATGCATAGAATTTCAGGCAGCATTTCCAAATCAAATAAACTCATTTGAAACGTGCTTTACAGGAATACAACAATCTCCCTTTTGACAGCAGACAACTGCATGGTATCCATTGATCCAACAATGCCTGCAAACTCGGAGAGGTAAGCCTTGCTGCAGCTTGCTCCTCAAAGCTCAGGTCAACCCAAGAGAAGGGGTGGTGGCTGCCTGCAGATGACTTTTCTGTGCAGCAGGAGGTGAGCAGCTCCCTGGAGGAGAGAGATGACAGCAAGAGTCGAATGCTGGCTTATAACACTAATGCCTGCTGGTTTTGAAGATTTTTACTTGCTATTAAAGTAGGAGTAATTGTCTGAGGCAAAAATACTGGTTTTAAGTATTTAATGTAGAACATCTGTTCCCATCCCGCCTTGTTTGTTGTCAAAGCATCCAGCTTCTTTGTTCACCCACTCCTTTATTGCTCTGCTAGGACACAACCATGATATTACCTGCAATGTGAATTCACTCTTTGATGAAGTTACGTCTCCTCCATGCGGGCTTTGGCCCTTCCCACCCTCAGATCCCTTTCTGCTTGGCTTCCTGTTGCTTGTTCATCCCAGTACTTTTAATTTCATTCTGACTGTTCACAGCTACTGCTTCTGCTGTTATTTACCTAATTGCATATTTCATCATTACTCACCACTGGCATTACTCTAACTGACACCATGCAGCAGGGCCCGAGCAGTTGGGAGGGAACTACTGCACAGGACAGTGTGTGAACACAGAGCGAAAAGGTGATCCCCACCACCAGAGCGTCCTTCTGACCTAAAGAATTTCCTTACATTCTCAGTTCACAAGCTAACAAGGCTTGCCAACGAGGAGGCATTTTTACCACGTTCACTGTGTGACAATACAGTGCAAGAAAGATCTCTGTCTCTAGTTCAGTACTGAATTGGAAGGTCATGTGCTCATAAGAAGTGCCCATTTCATATTTAAACTGACAGCTTTTAAGAGATCTTAGAATATATTCAGATTCTCTGGGAGTACAGATGTGAAATACAAACTGCTTTCTGGGTGTTGCTAATATCAACCTCTGATTCTTCCAGGTCCCCATACAAAGTGATACCTGTTGCCACTGTGCAGCTCTCAGGTAAAATGACCCTTTTGAACTGCATATACTAAAGCTGAATTTGTGAACATTTGGACATGGGAATTACATGGCTATGATGCAAGGAGGAAAGACGATGGTGTCGTGGTTGTCGCTGCAGCACAGTAAGAAGTGTTTGATCATAATGTTCTGGAGGAGAGCTAAAAAAACATCCCCAGATTTCTACATATTTGAGGGTGAGGTTGGACGGGGGGACTTTCCCAGTGCTTAGCTCCAATCTGACCCAGCACCACTGATGTCCTGGGGGAAGTCTTGCATGGAAGAGTGGGGTTTTTCAGGCAACAGACAATGTTTGAAAGCCTGTCCTGCAATGTTTTGTTAAACTTGTTCATCTTTCAGCAAAGCTATGCTGAGAAACTGAGCACAGCATTTGAACCCCATGGTATTTCCAAATGGCTGATGAGAGAGCATAATGTCTGCTGTAGGCATGGTAGCTCTAAGTGTAATAAATATTTAAATACACCTGACAAGATTAAAGAAGGCCTGGATGAAACAACACATCTGGAGCATGTTGCCCAGCTCACAGCACAGGCAAGAGTGGCACTCCTACCATTTCTCTTTGCTTGCCAGTCTTATGCTCAGGCCAGGAGCTCTCAGATGCTGGAGCACAGCATTTGGTTGTGGCAATTCCTGTAGAGCATCTGGCTCACCATCTCTCTCATCTGTGCATCTGCAACATCTCCTGCCACCCTCTCTTACCTGAGCAAGAGCCCTAACCTATACATTGTAGAGCTATAGGGAGAGGCTGGCCACTGAGGTAGGCTAGGAGACATCAGCTGGGGACACAGTTTGGAGCAGTAAAATTGGAAGACAGGAGAGACAAAAGGCAAGAGGTTAAGATTATTTTGGAAACAGAGAGTACACAGAAGAAAGAGGAGGGAGCCAGAAAGTCTGGGGGCTGGAAAAAGTAGTTTGCAGGAATGGGTAAGGCTCTTGCGATAGCAGCAAGGCAGTTTTGCTGGTGTCACCTCCTCTTCTGGCTCAAGCTAACTGCAGGTCCCACCTCCTCTTCTTACTTAGGCTCTTGTATTACTCAAGAGAAAACACAGTGTCTCACAGCATTGTTTTTTTTCAGATGGGGAGGCACAGGGAACTGAAACCACTCTGAGGCACTCACATCAGCTGCGACAGGAATGTCTGTAGGAGAAGGGCACAGCAAGGCAGTGTAGGAGGATGAGGGGTGGGCAGAGAAGCAACAATGGGGAGCTTGTACATGCAGAGAGCAAAGGCGAATGGAGAGCAAAAACAACAAAGAAGCTCAGGAAACAGGGAAGAACTTTACCACAGTAAGATCTGTTACAAGCCATAAACAGGTCCCATGTCAGTGATTGCCATTGCTGCCAGAAGGAGGTAGTCAAAGCCAAGAGACACAAGTGATTGTGAAGGGAAAAGAAGCTGTCTCCTAAACTATTTCCCTGTTATAACAAAGTCTGTTGGAACAGCATCACTCTTCTGGTCCAGGAGTACGTTATTTGCTTTACAAGATCAGAAAAGATGAAGTCTAACTGGAGCATATCTCTCTCTGTACCATCTGGCATGGGTAACCAATAGCCATTTGCCCCAACACAGAGAAAGACCAGTGAACAGTGCTGGCGAGGCCCTGCTGTGGAATGCCACTGTGTTATACCAGCTGGGAAGCTGACTGAAGGCCTTTCAAGAATACCTACCTTTTCCCCCCTGACATGAAGCTAACCGTATATTTTTGTAAGCCCGTGTATGACTTTTCGCACTCTCCCAGGGCCCTCATTTTTCACTCCAGCTGACAGCGCATGGCTCTGCTTTGTGCAGAGCGCAGCTCACTGAGTCAGCAAGGTCTCTCTTTCCTGCCTGCATTTTATAAAATGAGGATTTCCAAAGGTCTAAGCTAAAAAGGGCAAGAAAAATTCTGGTGGTAGGCTGCCAAAGCATAAGACAGACGCTGCTATGGAAAGAGGGGGAAGGTTGAACTGACTGTGATGGAACTAATGTTCCTTGGTATCTGTTTCTCTTTCACAAGGGTTGTCATTAATCTTAAGCATTCCTGACGTTTTGCTGAGAGTGGGAAGAATAAACAGAGTAGGAAATTGTTCCTATTCATTAAAAGAAAAAAGCCCAGCTCTGTTCCAGTCTTCCCTTCTTAAACAACTCTGCCTGCGTGACTCTGCTTCTCAAAGCAACTCGTCCAAGTACATGCCAAATATGGGGTCACCCCAATTTTCACAGCGGTGGGAGGTAATGCACCTCTTTTCAGCAGTCTCTCAGGCAGCTGGAAAAGAATGACGCATGCTTCAGCGGAATAAAGACTGTAAAAAGTGGGACTGGAAAATATGATCCTTTGGGAGGAAAATACAAGCAGTGGCTCTTATCCAGCAGAGGAGATATCCACCAGAGTCCTGCTAAGAAACTGCTCTTCATTCCCTGGCCATAGTCATGGGAGAGGGTTGGAATGAAAATACTTATTATCCCACCGAGCATCCATTGGATGCAGCATCCATTGCCATATCACCACGGGGTCAGCTGTCTGCAAGGCAAAGGCAGGGGCTGAGCTGGCTGGCTTTGGGCCTGTGGGGCCATTACATCATGTGCTCTCCTTCCTACCATGGCCTCAGACCAGAAGGCACGTGGTTATCTGAGCGGAGCACCAAACACCCAATGACAAACCTTTCCCTCTCTCTGGAACATTTAAAATCCAAAGCTTATCGAAAGGGCATCTTCTCCTTCCTAGAAAGGCTCTGGTCTGTGTCCTTGTGGATGAACAGGCTTAAAACTCACAAACCGATGGCTGTGTGGGGCTGCAATTAGTAGGGTTCAAGCACTCTGAACTGCTGATGTTGCTGGAGATGCCAGCTAAATGAACAAATCCTACTAGGAGCACACTCCTGAGAGGTCAAAATGAAGTCTGTTACATTTCTAAGAGCAGAGAAAGGAGCTGTTGTGAAGCTCAGGATAGCCTGATCCGCTGCAATCCTAAACACAGGGGAAACATTCACAGGGGCTTTCCTACTGCTCCAAAGTCAGGGCAGCAAAGCACACAGGTGGCTGAACTAGCCCTTAAATATCTCACCAGAGGTGTGACATGAAAAAGCACACGATGTGCTGAGATTATTCGCAATTCTGTCTGCATCTGTCTCCAGCTTGTTCTCTGGGTCCTTCAACACAAGCATCCTCTCACCCCCGGGGGGAAATGGCCGAGGAAACCCAAAGAGAACAATGCCTGGTCAGGATGGAAGTCAGCAAGTGGAGAGAGTTCACCACCTGCCACTGCTTGCTTAGCAGCCTCCGTGCCAGGGAACCCCGCCAGCATTTGCTGGGAGACACTTGGCCATGCTGGAGCTGTAGGCACCATCTTTGCCTCCCACTTTCCTTGCCATTCAGTTATTTGCTTTTTCAGCTAATAAGATATCTAGCACTTGCGCTGAGAAAAGCCCAGGATCTCTCCCAAGGGATATTGGCTTATGATGGGACACCTAGCTCCAGCAAGACCCTTGTAACGGCCTGCTAGAAGGTCCATGTCTGAATTGTCTTGCCCTGCCTTTCCTACCACTGAGCCCATCAGTGACTGAACCAGAGATCTGCATGCAGGGTCTGCTTTTTCTCCCAAAGGATTAAAGACACAATATCTTGTGCAAATTGCTATTGGTAAAGTGACAGAAGCTCATCACTGTGCCTAAATCTTCTTATTCTGGGATCTCTCTCTTCTCCTTTTTTAAGCATATTCACGCTTGCAGTTTAGGCAAGAATTAAGAGGCATAGACTGTGAGAGAAAAATACCCCTCCTACCCGCTGCTCCTTACATGCACCCCACATGGATGCGTGCATCATGACGGGGCCAAGTGCTTCAGGGTTACTCACCTGGACAGGGACTTGCATGAGAGCCCAGTTTAGCTTGAGCTGTCAAGCAAATTTGGTACTTGATATGACGTGCTTCATAGATGCTGGCTTGAGCTTGAATCATGCCCCTTCCCGAGACTTTTGTACACCTGGGTGTTCTTTAAATCCCCTGACTGTCCACATCCAAACAAACCACAGAGAATTAAATACAGGCAGGGGCCATAGGAACAAGCACACATGAAAAAGAGACCATGTGTCAGGAATTCTCCAGTCTGGCAGGGAAAGGCAGACAGTAATGTCCTCCCAACCTTGCTTGGCCACAGCAGAAAAGATGGGGGGAAACCAGCCCATCTTCACAACCCCACGCACTCCCTGCTGCACCCCATCGAGGCTGGCAGGATGGCAGGGAGAGCTAGGAAAGGTGGGAGGATGGAGGTGGTTCCCTGGCTGTGATCCCAGCAGATAAGACAGGAGAGAAAGTCACTGCCGAGCAGGGTGCATGCCAGTGGGTAATAAGCCATCTGTGTCAGGCACACATAACCTGAGCTGCCCCAGCGTGTACCTGGTCCCTATCCAACAGGGAAGGTGGTGGTCGCTGCCAGCCCTTGGGTCCGGCCACAGTGGGAGTCGCAGAAAAAGGTGCTGCTGACGTGTTCCCCCATCCCTGCTTTCTGCCCGAACCTGATGGCAAAGGGGCTGCCGGAGGGACAGCAAGATGGATCCTTCCTCTGTGGTGCCTCAGCCAAGCTCCCTGCTGAGCTTGGCAGGCATCAGCAGGCGAGGAGCCCAAGTCCCTGTGCCGCTGCGAGCATGGGAATGGGCTGTGGGAAGCCCTGGGCTGACCTGTGCTCTGCCTGACATGGCTCTATTGCAGCATATTCTGGAGCAGGGGGTCTAATATTTGTTTATATTATGTTCTGAGCCACCTCAAGTATTGTGCAAAAATCTGACTTGCTGAACACCTGCACCTGCAAACGTTGCACATTCGTGGTGCCAGTGGAGGATGAGCTGAGAAAAGGGTTGGTGTTGGCTTTTGGGCTGCTGCAGGAAGGAGCTGGCAACCCTCAGCAAGGTGTACAGATTGTAGCTATGTGCAGCAGGGTTTCCTTTTGCAGAGGGAATCGCAGCAAAATGAATGAAGCAACTGAGGGAAAAGGTAGCTCTGTGCACCTGGGGTATCAGCCTTCCCCAGAGTTATAAAAAACCTAGAAGACAGGGCAATGAAGGGAGCAAAAGGACACCTAGCCCTCCTGTTTAACAAAGGACTGGAGAAGCAAGACCAAATGATGCTGGAGCAATATCTCTTTTTCTTCAGAATTAGGGGTTAGCAGAGGTCTCCCCCTTGAAAAGGAACAGGGTGGAGAAATGGATCTTTGTCTCTTTAAGACGAGATGAACTGCCACTCTTAGTCATATATCTTTACTGCACCCTAGGGTTATAAAAACATACATCTTCATTTGGAAAGTCTTTTATTACATCTATAAACATCAGATTGCAGCTGACTGTTCCCTGAATGAGAATGTCCTAGTGCTCCAAGTGAGTTTTGACAGGGGGAGGGAGTGAAAGTAAGAGGGTTTTTTTTTACTGGAACAGTGTTTATAGGGAACTTGTCAGTCTCTGGTGTGCTGCAGCCACTGTCAGAGAGCGGAGCAGCATTGGAGTGAGAGGACACGGGTTTCTGTGCTGGTTTTCACTGTTGGAGTCAGGTACCACCCCAGGTGCTGCATACGGTAAGCTTTTATCCTGTCTTAAATAGGACACAGCGTTTGCTCTGTTACAGCACATGGGTTTTGTGAGAAAACTGAAAATGGGTCTCTGAAAAGAACTGATCTCTTCATTTGCTTTGCTGAGCACTCCGCTGGGAGTTGGATCTCAGCAAAAGGGCAAAAACAAGAGAGGGAATTAGATCAGAGACTTTCAGAGCACAGAGTGCTTGCTCTGGTTTAGAGATACAGCGGTAACAGACAAATTGTTTTGACCAGCAAAATGAATGCTCTTGATGAGTATTTCTGACATCTCTGATGCCTGAGGAACTGCAAATCCTTTCAACAGGTACCAAGAGCTATTATTTACAAATATGCTGTAAAAGCTGGGTTGCATTTCTTTCTGATGTGTTTTGCCTGGGTTTGCACTCATGAGACATTGTGCCCCCTCACACAAGTGCAAAAGAAATTCCATCAGGGTATTTCTACCTAGGATGTATAAATGTATTTGTACGTAGGGTATAAATGGGTGTTCTGTAATCTGCAGTGTGTATATGACAGCATGCAATGTTTCTGCTCCTTCAGGATGAGAAACCAAGAGTACATCCACACTGCAGGCATGAGAACAACTGCAGCATAGTGCATTTTTAACTAGCTAGTGGGAAAAGTGGGAGCAATCTTAAAACAGCAGCTCACAGCTCTGCAATGATAATTTATGCTTTGCCTTGCCCACATGGTGAATACAGTGTGGACACACTGAGATGGGAAACTTTGCTGATACTTCTTCTTTGTTCCTGAAATGTACTGTCCCTCAACATCTAGGGTCTTTCTTTAAGGACTTGTTTGCTTTTCCCTCTGTGAGTGACTGCAGTTCCGTGATGGTCTTGGGAAGGGGCTGGGGGTTCATCAGGCTGACTTTCCCAAGCGCTGGAGTAAGGAGCAGGAGGCGGGGAGCTACTGGTGTGAGCATTCCCAGTGTGGCCACTGCCACAGCTGCTCAGGCAGCGATGGGATCCGGACAGGATCCCCGCAGCGACACTGTCCAAGTTATGTTCTCAGGGAAAAGGGGTTGGGAAACTTGTGCCCTGCTGTGTCCGTCCCACGAACCAGGAAGGGCGGACCTTGTTCTGCTAGAACAGTCACTTCGCATCTCATGCCTGCCTGAAGCTTCTGCATAGCAGTATGATCCTTATGAATCTGCACCAAAAATACTGTCTCCAGGATAATGTCCAACTGGAACTCTGAAAGGCAAGCTGGCATTTATTGTGTTCAGAAGTTGTTGCTTTATTTATGGGCACTCTGTTGCTAATGTTGTAGCGGCAGTCCTTGTGAGCCAGACCTTTCAAAAGCAGATGGTGGTTTTGGGTGTCCCACCCAAGACATGCAAAAAGGGTCTCATTTCTAGGGAGTGCTGCCTTAAAACAAGCCACCTCTCAGAGACCCAGCACCCTCCAAAACACTTCTGATAAACCTTGACTGCAATCTGCAGGCATAGGAAGGCATGAGATGAAGAATCGTTCCCAACTGCTGTCACTTGTTCGAAGGACCAGAACAGCATTTTGGCTAAATGCCTCGCAGTCAGAGCTGGAAGTCTGGGGATGCCACTCTGCAGGGAGGTTGAGGATGTCTTCTTTCCTTTGTCATTTTCTATCATGTCTCCCTCCTGTTTTTATCAGAGAAAGAAGAATTGTTCCAGAATTTATTGGGACAGATTGCTGAGCAGTTCTCAAGGTAAGAAGCTGAACATTATTGCTGATTTAAAATGTTTTTTCTTTTATCAGCCTGAAGTGAAATTTTCACAGGAGGCAGAGGGGCATTTAAGACCTCTTTAAAATTCCACTCATCATGACAAATTTGGGCCTGGTACACGTTATTTCCTGCTGTCAGCAATACAGTAGCTTAAACCAAAAGCAGTTTTGGCAATTATCTTTGATCTTAAAAAGAGATCAAGTAATAAATACAAATGTCATTACCGTGATCCTGCCCTTTTAGGAAGCAAAAGAAATTCTTTGTTGACCAGTCAAACCTTCTGATTTGTTTGTTTTTCCCTATGTCGCTCAAATGTGTCTCTCCTCCGAGAGGATTTCTCAACATCTGTAGAGCTGCTTATTTTATTCCAGCTGGTTTCCATAAGACGGATCAATCCCACCACAGCTCTGCAAATCCCCAGCATAACTCCAAAGGAGGAGGGCTTCAGGGTGTGCAGAGACCAAAATGCTGCTGTTTGTTAGGCAAAGCATTATCAATTTAACTTTGTTTCCCCGGGGGGTTCAATAACAAATCACTGCTGAGAGAGGGTTGGTGAAGTGTTGCAGAGCCACAGTACATTCCCAGGGCCAGGGCCATGACAAAATCAGTTCTTGTTAATTTGTATGGGGGGGGAAGTATTTTCAGACCAAATTTTAGTATTTCCATGGGAAATTTTCCATTCCTTACAGCAAGCGTGGCCGAAAAGATCAATCCTCTGAAACAAATAGGCATCTCTAGCAAAAACCCTTTGTACCTAGGTAGGTACGGCACTAAATGTATAACATTAATACATGAGGGTTTTCTTTTCAGGGTTTTTAAAATCAATGAGCTGAAAACGGAAGTAGCTAATCACTTGGCAATGCTGGAGAAAAAGGTTGAATGTGAGTGTCCCTTTATTCATATCACAGTGGGAATCGGTGCCTCAGAACTCCCCTGCCTTGCTGCTCTTGTTGTACCCCCTCTCTGCCCCGCTCCTCACAGCCCCCCCCTTTCTCCAGTGGCTCTTAATTTGTTTGGCCTTGGCCCTCAAAGGCTGGAGGCCAGCCTGGGGTGAGATGTGGGGAAGGTGAGAGCCCATGCTGGCACCTACCAGGGGATGAGGGTAGGGAGGAATGTCTGGTATTGCAGGCATCCGAAGTGCCTCCTGGCCTCCCCTATGAGGGGCCATTTAGCCCTCCACCAAGCTTTGGGACCAGGGACACATCCTCCCACTACCCCATGGCAAAGGGTCTCCAACACCCAATTCCCTGTCTGCTACTTCCAAGTCCCCTTGCCTCCCCTCACATATTCCCTCCATGTCCCATATCCCCATCACCTCCCCTGCACCCAGCACTGACCCTCCCATGCCTCTGCATAGGAAGTCCCTGAAAACCCTGCCTCATTAACACACTTGGGATCTGGTACTCACTGCTGCATCTTGTAATTAATTACAGGGGGTAACACAGCTACCTTCCTTCTGCTTTAAGTCAGATACTTGCACACGTATATCTGACAAGGTCAAACATGTCTTGCAGAGAGATTTCTCCTTGCAGAATCATGGAATCACAAAATGGTTTGGGTTTGAAGGGACCTTAGAGCTCATCCAGTTCCAACCTCCTGCAGGGACACCTTCTACTAGACCAGGTTGCTCAAAGCCCTGTCCAGCCTGGCCTTGAACACTGCCAGGGATGGGGCAGCAACAATTTCTTTGGGCAACCTGTTCCAGTGCCTCACGGCTCTTATAATGAGGAATTTCTTCCTAATATCTAAACCTACACTTGTCTTGTGGTTCATCTCGTTGTTTTGCGAGGCAGTGATTTCTGGGCTGCAAACATGGGGGTTTACCATTCCCTGACAATATTGCCTGCAGACTACTAGGCAGCATCCATTTCCTCACTTGTTCAGTGCATTACATGTAACACAACAATATTTGGTTACTGTGCACAATGAAGTTTAATTCATCTGGTCAAAGAGCTCCTTTTCTGGGTTTTGGGACTTCTTCCCTGCTCCTCCCGTCATTCAGCATCTGACTTGTTGATTTTCAGTATATTATTCAGAACACATGTCATGGAAAAGCCAGGGAGAGGTATGAATAAAAGGTATGGCACTGTCACCCAGCACTGCCTTGACACCAAAGGCCACATCCTTGCTGATACGTAGCATTTAAGTCAGGAGCAGGCAGTTTTCCCTGGTACTACAGCTGCAGAAAGCACTTTTCTCACTAGAGGTGGCTGGGGGAAAATGAAAAAAGGGTTCTGGTTCGTGGAAGAAGTTCTTTTCTTGAAACTTCCCCTGGCCAGAAGCTACCTTGACCCTGCAGCTGCTCGGTGAGACTGATGCCTTTGTCAGCAGGGAGAGGGAAATATGTCCTCATTCAAAGAGCAGCTGCAGGGGAACCTCTTCCTGAGGCCACCCTCGCTGTAGGCTTCAGTGGGGTGGGAGCCTGACCTGCAACATGCCTACCCCAGCACAGACCTCTGCAAGATCGGGTGGTAATTCCTCCCTGTCTGCACGGCTCCTGGTTTTCCTAAAGCTCCACTGTTCTTTTGTCCAAAAGAAAAAAATAAATACACGAAAAAAATGAGAGAAATTAGCTCAGTCACTGCATTTTCTGTGAAACTCCCGTCCAACTCCTGCCCTTAGGGCTAAGTGCCATGGACTAAGGCAAATGAGGGAAGCGTTCCTGTGGGACTTCCTATCCCCCAGGCAAGCGACTATCCCAGCCACTGTCCCCCCTGGGATCCCTGGCTGCACCCTGCACACAGGCTGCCCTTCAGCGTCTGCAGCCAGCAGCAGTGAAAGGAGATAACAGAGATTTGCACGCTGCTGTCGGTGGGCAGGAGTTGTGTGCTTGCACTCTCCAGCACTTCAATGCTGTTGAGGGAAGGCAGCCTACCCAGCCCTGGGGTGCCATGCAGGTGAACTGAATTCTCTGGTCCCCCGACAAGGCTTCTTTCTGTAAGTGGGTCTCTCCACTGATGGAAATAGCAGCTGATGCAGCAATCTGCTGCCATTCTGCCTGAGCACTTCGCGATCCCATCTCCGGCAGCCTCAGCCTGTGGGAAGGAGCTCCCTGGGTTGCCTGTCCACAAGTGCACCCATCTGCTCGAAATTGGACTTCCAGGATCTGTGACAGAGACGGATCTGCAACATTTTGAAATAATTCCAGGCTTTCATGCTTAAAAGGCAAAACTGTGAGAGAAAAGGAGTGTCCGACCTCCCTGCTCGAGCTGGGCTCCCTGAGGTTGCTGTAAGAGCCATGTTCCAGTGCTGGATTCAGCCCAAGGATTTCTTTAGACGGCACAGGGTTTTTTCAGGAGTATTTTTTTGCTGCAGAATAATATAATGGGCCCTTAATCAGTGCACATGACAAGGCCATTCATCATTTGTGAGCCAAACGTGAAAAGAATTGTGCTTTTGTTTTGTCTTTTCTCCTGCCTCCTTTGGAGAACCCTCTTCTACCACTTTCACATGTGATCTCCAGGATTTCTTCCCCAGAGGGGATGTGTGTGTGGGGATAAGTGCTCACGACAAAGCTACATCTGCACCTCACATAAAATGTTCTCAGCTTCCTTCCCATTACTGTCTAGAGACCATATCACAGAGACATGTTTTCAAGGAGCCGAATCTTTTAACTGATTTTTAAATCCCCTCTAAAGCTTGTGACTTCCCCTTGGAAAATGCTTGCACTCAGGGCAAGCACTAAGAATGCTTTACTCTGCTCCAGTGTTTGCGCAGCAGCCCACACATGAATAAGGAAGCTGGCAAAAGCCCTTGACAATTTGTAAGCATCTCACATCTGCCTTAAGAAAATAGTTATGTAAATTCTCTTCTCCCCCTGGAGAGGTTTTGGAAGAAAACTGAAAAGATGCAATACGAAAAAGTGCTCAGGGCTGCCATTTTGCACCACAGTTTCTCTTCCATCTGCAGTTGCTTGCCCACTACCCTCAGTCTGATAACTTTGCTTTGCTCTCACTGCTTCAGATGTGCACCAGCCTGGCATATGGGCTATCCATGAACTTCTCCCAGCTTAATGCACAGGGATGGTACATAGCAGCCCAGTCCTGCAGGTCACCTGCAGCTGAACATCAACAGTTGAACAGAGCACCCAAAAAAGTGCAGCCAGATACCCAGAATGAAGATACTGACTAAGAAGGACAACATCCTGCCCATATCATCACACTGTAATCATGCAAAAATTGCTTGTTAACAACGCTACAGAAAAACAAAACAAAACAAAACAGAACAGTAATCTGGAAATTGGATTTTTAAGTGGAGGATATCCCTGTAATCAAGCATAAATAAAACCCCTTTCCCTTTCCTTTCCTTAATAACTTGAATTTTGGACTTGTTCATACACTTCTCTGTTTTTCCTCTTTCCCATTTCTAGTAGCAATCTTTGTTGTTACTAGTATAAGGAAAATGAAACTGAGGTCTCTGCTTATCTATAGAGTTGTGCCTTCCGAGGCAGTTTTTACCACTTACATGGTACCCTCCAGATAAATGTGATTTTGAGTATTACTTTTTAAGAAGGTTATTGAATACTGATTGTACAATTGCACATTCCCTGGAGTTCCCTGAACCACAGCTTGTCCAAGCAAACAATAAGTAAACAAATGAGCTGTGAAATGATTGCATATGAATGACGTGTACTTAATAAATGGTGCTGTATTGTGTCCTTGAGCACACTGATAGTTAAATGAGAGGGAAAGAAAAGGGAGAATATTCTCGTACTTGCACTGCGTTAGGCTCTCACGGCTATGTGAAGTGCATTGCTGCATAAACACGCAATCAAACTTTTTGCCTTGTGGCTCTCATAATTGCACACAGAAAGGAAACATAGGATTTTTTTTATGCTGCATGCAGAAATAACCTTTGATTACAAAATTGATTGGCAAAAAGAAGTGACAGATCTTCAATAAAAAAAAAATCAATCATTAGAGCAAAACTTTTCAACATTTTTCTTTTTCTCCCACATGCTCACTTTGGTTTTTGTGTATCTAGCAGTGCCTTTCAGAGCTCCTTAATGCTCTGCGTGAACTTTCAAATTAAAACCTTTTATCTTAATGGGAATTCTAATCCTACCGGGACGTGTTTGCCTAGCTGCGCTTATCATCCCATCACTGGAGGGGATATATTTTGCTCAGGATTTCCTTTGATTCGTGTTCTACAGCAGAGAAGTGAAGGCACCAGGACAGCCGACTGCTGCTAGCAGTGGTGGAAAAGCTGAGACATTATAGCTACTCTGAATTAAAATACTGTAGGTATTATACAAAATCGGCAGCGGAGAATTCCTATGGGTTTTCAAGATACATCGCTCTGGCGGCACCTGCACATGTGAGAACCGAGGCAGGCTGTAAGAGCTTGCTGGCTCCCTGGATAACCCCATGTTAAAGCCCTTTGAAATTTCGCACAATTGTGAAGTGAGATCCTTCGACTTTCGCCATGGTAACACCCCTGTTGTTTTCCTTTGTTGACAGTGGAAGGCCTGAAAGTAGTGGAGATTGAGAAATGCAAGAGCGACATTAAAAAGATGAGGGAGGAAATGGCAGCTAGAAGCAGCAGGTAAGTTCTGCTTTGGACCTAACCAGAGAAATAAGCATCTGGTTTCAAACCTTTATGCAGTATTTCCAAAGGATTGAGTTACCTTCTGGGCTTAGAAGTGCAGAGGCAAGGAACCCAATAACCATTACGGACAGTGGCTTTAATTTAACATTTGAAGATCTATAGCCATCCATTAGTTAAAACAGCTCAGGCTATGGGAATAGACAAAAAGGTCTTCCAGCAGAGAGTTCTTTTTCACTATACAGAAAGAATGGGAATTCTTTATCCAGATTTACTGGGAGACAGATAATGGGAAAAGAACTTTTGTATAGTGTGGTGTTCAGTTGAGAACCAGCTAACACTCAAATCAGCTCCAACATATGCTGGGAAAATATCAAATAAATAAGTAACAGCTCTTCTAATTTTATGATCTCATGCTACTATAAAACACCCATTTCAAATTCAACAAGAAGCTGGGAATTTACTCTCTAGTTCAAGGGCTTACTGCGATTATGAAGCTTGGTTTTGCTGTAATTAAAACAACAGCAGAAAAGATTGCATTTTGTAGGGCACACAGTCTCAGCTGGAAAGTCTGCCCCCTGTGTCACTGAAATATGCCATTAGGACAAACAAGTCGTCACTGAGAGATGATGAATACTTCTGGAGAGGTTGCTGAAGAGGGATATATTTTGTTGCTCAAAGTGTGGGTGAAGGGGGTTTCTCTCAGCAAATGTATGCTATCTTGACAGCCTCTCTCATTTTCTTCATTCAGGGTCAAATTCTCTGACCTTTAATCAAAGCTATTTCCTACTGAGGGCAATAGGAGATTTGCTAAAAGAATTAGGCTTTATAATCACTCACTTTCATAAATTCTGCTATCCAGATATGTCAGAAGGCACAGTGTTAATACATTCCTATCAGGTCTAAGGCCAAATTCAGCTGTCATTCTAGTATAAATGCAGAGTAAAAGTATTAACCTCATATCTGCTCCAGATTTATTCCAGTGGGATGGATTGCAGTTTGCCCTGTGACTTGCATCATTTCTTGTTCAGGTGTGTAAGGAAATCTCATTAGAAAAATCAGAGTTCAGTTTGGCAGCAAATAGGAAAGCATGTATGCTGATTTGTGCTGGGAGTGATGTGAATAATGTGTGCTCATGCATGTGCCTCTACTTTTTCTCAACTGTTACAGGGAGCTGGGAGAGCTGCACTTACAAGCATAGTGACACACAGGCAGATAGGGAATTAAAACCAAAATAGAAGCTATGGCAACTTCATGTTTGCCCAGTTGCTGCCACACACATCAGGAAGTATGAAAATGTCCCAGTAACAGCCATGACTCATTCCCCTCCCAGATCTTGTCACCTTACAATCTATATTTTGTAGTATAAACAGCAACCTGCTAACAAGAACCTGGAATGGGGAGTGCCATGTCTGCCCAGTGCAGCTAACTCCAGCTGAGGTGTGTAGTCTTCACCAGGAACTGTAGTGAGATATGACAGCTGTCAACAGCCAGACACCAGCATTGACCATGGTTCTGGAAAGCTGGCAAAAATGGGTGCAGTGCTCAGCAGCAGGTAGAGCTGATACCCAAGCTTGCTTGCTCTTAACTCACACTGCATAGCTGCTTTCACTGAACCAGTACCCTAACTTACTCTGCTCAGCATCCCTTTGTGCCCTATCAGTATGGCAGCTACCTCTCACAGCACTTCTTGGTTGCCTTGAGCTGGGTCTTCCTCTTCCCAGCTGCACAAAACCTCCTTCTGCTTGCACAGAATTCTGTCTATTATTATTTATAGCTTGAGGGATTGGGTCTCAAAGCAGTTAGATGTGGCTAGGTTCAGTATGGCTGTGTATGTGGCTAGTATGTGTGTAGCTAGGTTCAACCAGGGATGGCTATGAGTCACTTCTTGCTGTAAGACTGGGAAGAGAATGGTCCTTGGTAGGTGGTCGTTAAAAGGGACCCCACTCGGAGCTGCTGAGGAATGAGCTGTGGTTCCCTATTCCCAAGCAACCACGGATCTGCAGGAACCATAACCACAGTGACCCCAGCCTAGGGATTCTTCACCCCACAGTGACTGAGTAATCTCTCTCCCATGGGCATGAGATACATGCTGTGGGGGAAAAACAAGGCATCCCAGCATATGTGGCAATGTATTTGCACCTACTTAGGCTTGTCATCCCTTGTGCTATGCCATTTGCTAGATAATGTGTTACAGTTGAAATTAGGGATCACATCTAAATTTAGTTAATGTACAAAAGCATGTCTGAGTGCATATATTCCTTCAATAATATCATAGCAGACACAGCTGTATGCTTGTATGTTTGCATATTCTTACATTTGCTGTTACATTACTGAATGGCAGAGTGGGAGTGAACACCTAGATTTATAAGTAGTCATGCATAGTGAATTGTGCATCTCTTCAGAAGAGCAAAAGACCCCCACTTGCATCTCCTCAAATTGCTTTTTTGTTTGCTAGTCTGCTTTTTGTGTTCACCACTGGCAGATGCTAATAACAATATAGTATCATTTAAAATCATCATCATTTGCAGATACAGTTTTAGGTTTTGTAAAGGTCTGATGCACCCTGGCTCTGGTGTGTTCCCCAGTGTGGTAGCATGGAGTCATACTACATACTGGGATGCCATCCTCCAGTTAAGGCATGAATTGCCCACATCTCACTATTTTTATCCAACTAATACCCCTCACAGTGGAATTTTGAGGAAACAGCTTTAGAAATTATTAAGACAGCTTTTCACCAACTGAGAATCAACTCAAACAGGGCTCACCAAATCTCCTCAAAAGCTGGTTGAAGCCAGCTGACCACCATGAACTGTAGGATGACAGAACTTTCACAGGATTCAGACAACACCATCAGGAGTGATAGAAGTCATCAGTGTTAAGAGCAGAAAAGAGACCCAGACCAACTCCCAACAGAGAACAGAAGCACTAGAAAGAGATTCAATATACAATATGTGAAATAGTTTTTAAAGGATCAAATAAAGTTAATGGAATGCTTTGGTTGGCTCTTTTGGGGGGTTTCTTTTAACTTCAATTGGTAGGAGGCTTGAGAAATGAGAAAGAATCATACAGGGATAAATGTAAAATACAAGCAGATCAACCTCACATGAAAGTTCTTAAAATCCACATGACCAACTACATGGGAAATGTGTGTTGAGTTAAACTATTGCGATTGCCACAGGTGACACCACAGAGCTCTATGTTTTACTGTGCCCCCCATGGCTGCAAGGAAAAAAAACTGCTCTCACACTGCAATGCAGCAACCTAGATGTTCTGCAAAGGCTGTAAGGCCGGTGTGCACCTCCCACTATCACAGTCCTCAGCTCAGGTGGGGTAGAATCATAGTGTGGGTTGGAAGGGACCTTTAAAAGTCATCTAGTCCAACCCCCTGCAATGAGCAGGGACATCTTCAACTAGATCAGCATCAGCTTGGCTCTTCCACGGGCAGAGGAAGGATGAGCAGATTAACTGTCAGGTGGTGGCGGTGTTAAGAAACAGGTAAGTGTTAATCACCTGTAACTGCTGGCAATGGCTCCCTTCCTCCAGGACCTGGGAGCCAAGCACACTGTATCTGCCCAGCCTCCACCTCATTGCTGTTGTCCAGCCTGAACAGCAGCAGGGAAGATGGTCAAGCCATCAAAATGGATGCTCTTACCCAAGCTTTTATGAGGCCTAGAGCCGGGATGAAGTAAGCCTTGGGCTTGGTGTGTGCCTACACTGGTAAATAAGCATAGGTGTGCCAGTGTCCATGTTCAGCGTGGCCCCTGGCAGGGCTCTGCAGCCCTCAGACAGCTATGCCTGTCACAGACAGCAAGCTGCTTGCTGAAAGTTACTTGGTTTAAATAGAAATTATGGGGTATTCACATGCCTGAATAGAGAAGCTCCTCACTTGAATTCAAATAGACTGAGAAGCTGCAACAAGTTGTACAAGGGAAGAAAATCCTAGAGAGGATCACACTTTTAAAGCATTTGAGCAACACCACATTAGAAAGGGAGAGTCTGGGCAGCAGGGTAATTCTCCAAGCGATGCCTACTGAGAGATTAGAGTACTTCCAGCTTTTTTTGAGGCACCGTGGCTCTGTTCCCACAATGTTAAGAGTTGCATATTTAATTTCAGGACGAACTGTCCCTGCAAGTACAGCTTTTTGGATGAAAACAAGAGACCAACTCCCCGGCGGGATGTACCATCCTATCCAAAGGTACCACACAGTGCTTTTTCTTCCCATAATCCTACCACACGCTTGCTATCCTGACAACTGGTGGTTTACAATGCATGACTCACTAGCCATCTACATCCTAGCTATTCTAAATCCAAAGCCTGATCCAAAATCCCTGGGAGACAATGGAAGAAAGCTGTCATTGCTGTGGTGACTTAAAGTTGGATCCTCAGTAGTCTTTAATATTTGAAAGCTCATTAGTGTTTGAAATGTTAATGAACATCTTGCATTCATCAGTGTTTAAAGCTCTTTGGTCTAGTTATATTTGTTTATTCTCCATGCTCAGAGCAAACAATCAAAGATAGCCTACAATGTTGTACTCTAATTGAAAATAGTGCTGCTGCCTGTTTTCTCCTAATGGATTATTTTTTAATTTAAAAAGTAATTTATGGAGATGCTTCACCTAGGGAAACAAAGAGAAAATGTGACATTGGATTCTCTCCAGAATGATTCATTGTCCCTGTGAAAATGAGATAATGTATTTACTACAGAAAATAGCAACGCTTGAAGAAAAATGTTTACTGGGCAAGTACAAGCAGAAACCCACAGTAATGAATGAGGCCAAAACCATGAAGTACACAGCATCTTTGGTGCTAGCACCATCAGTCTTTGCCCACAGGAATTATGCAAAGCTTTCAGGCTATGTCTGCTCAATGCCCACCTCACACCTTGACAATACACCAGCTCACATGTGCAAATCAGAGTGGTCATTTACTTGCACACATCAAAGCTGGCTCTGCCACTCTGAAGTTCACATGGTCCCATGCGATGCAGGTGCATGATCTGGACATGCATCCTTGCATATTTGCCTTCAGACCCTTACAGAGAAATGAATTTTAAGTTCTCCTGTTTATTCAGCAACACACGTTTGTTATCAAGTAAGAAGTCCGTACTGCCAATTCACAATTTTCTTGCAGAACATCATATTCAATGTACATTATATGTGCGAATACAAAATCAATTGCCTTCTCAAGAAGGAAATTAATCTTTGGTGTTATTCTACCTTGGATTAAGTATCAGCAGTTGGATGGCTCAGAAAATTTCATTTACCTGCTCAGTACAGTAAGCCCAGACTAATTAGAGACAGCCATGGTAAATGGGCCAAGCGAAGCTACGAGATTTCTGTGGCCCAGAAAGACTCTGATGAATGGAGTCTAGAAAAGATGAATAGATAGAGTCCTGTTCTTTTAACTCCCCGCATTCCTTTTTTTCCGTTCGTACACAAATCGTAACTTGGGAACTTGGGTTTGTTCTAAGCCTCCGAGCATAATGATAAAAAATCACTGGAATCTTGCAGGCTGACAACCAATTTGAAAATGTGGGCGTTCTTGAAAAAAATACTCAAAATGAGAGTATAAATCATCTGCAAGTAAATATATCATACCCACCAGCTAATTTAACACGGTGAGTGTAGACACTTCACACCATCCAGGCATAACTGGCTGCATCGAATGTTGCTGATGCTCTGCAGGCAACAAACCCAGTGTAGCTAGGGACAGGTCTGAGCCGTGTGCCCTTTATATCCCTGTGCTGGTTTTATCCATAACCCCATCCATAACACTCTCACTCTCCTTCCATTTCTCCCAGATTCTCCACCTCTCTGCTCCACAAGGTTCTCCACCAACCAGCGAGCTGCTTGGGGACTTGCTGCCTGCTAGGCATTGTTTATCCTGGCCTGACCACAAGCAGCTGGTGGGGAGGGTGAGGAGGGCTCGGCAGGCAGAGCAAGAGATCAGTTGCTTTCTCCTTGGGCAATATGGCTAAACCCCTCATGAACAAAACCTTGGGAGTGCCAAGGACACACCAATAGCAGGTCCCATGCCAGGGTGGGGGACCCTTATGCCAGCTGTCTTTTTGTCTGCAGTACATGCTGTCACAGGAGACCATTGAAGCACTTCGGAAGCCAACCTTTGACGTATGGCTGTGGGAGCCCAATGAGGTAAGGATGCTGTGTTAGCTGGGTTAGCATTCTTTCTGAGAGCCAACAAAGCTAGAAGAGCCCTTTGAGATGGTCTGTGGGATTTTTCCCCTTTTCTGCCCCTTACTCTCTATCCTTTTTTGATTTTCATACTACACCAGAATACAGTACTTTTTCCTAACAGATGCCAGATAGACTGCTGGTTATCATACACTGACTCCTCTCTGTATTTTCTTTAATCTTTTCCTAGTAATGTCCCACAACAACTGGTGCACTGTCATTACTGCCATATGAGCTGTCTTGTGCCATTTATGTGAACAAATCAATCCCTAGCAAAGTGTATGCTCAAGCACATCATCAACAACTCTGCTCAAATCAATAAAGCAGCATGCTGCTGTATGAAGCCAAACAGAGGTTCATGCATTGATTCACACCCTTTTAGGTGAGGGGTTTTCCTGCGGCGTACTCTGAAGAGGTTGCAGAGCTGCATGCATAGCCTATTTGTATTTTCTTCTTGCCTAATTGTCTTATTTTTGTTCTTGCTATTAGTAGTATTCATTGCTTGTCACTTGTATTGCAGAAGGTTCTGGAAGGACCATGTGTAAACCTCTGTGGAAACATGAATGAGAAGGATGTTTCTGTAATGGCCAGCTTATAATTTAATGTATAATTAGATTCAGCAAATACAAGCAAATCTCACTTAGGAAAAATATAAGGGAGGGCAGGACTAAAGTGGGGGTTTAGTGTTGTGTTTTTTTCCCAAGGGAAGGATTGAGTAGCTCTAGCAGCACCCCAGCAGCAATCACTTTAATTACCTTCTCAGTAAGATGTTGTGCATATAAGGATCATTCTGGCTCAGCACCTGTAGGTCAATGCGACAATTAAAAATACCCATACCATACACAGATATTCCCTTCAGGATGTTTCATCCGGCTTTAACAGAAGGCCTCTCCAGTGGCTTTAGGTCCATCACCTCTCCAGTCCCTTTTCTCTGTACCATGCTCAGCCAAAATGGCTTGGCCCCAGCTTTTTAATGTCTGTCAGGTCTTTACAGCAAGAGAGAATTACGACCTGCCAGGTGGACCGTGACACTATTGGCTCATTGTTTCTCTGACTATTAAGAAAGCATAGTGAGAGACAAAAAGCATTATCCATGGATTTTTGTGTGCTGAGGTGTATTATTTTAGCACAGTAACTCACTTAGAATCTTAGGAAACACTATATGGTGGCATGAACCGGGCTAACAAGAGAATGCAGAGATTAGACATGCCCTGAAAGGAGGAGAGCTGCTCAGAAATAAGATACCACACAACCTCTAGTGAGCTGAGCACCACATGGGTTTATTTTACCCTTTTAGCTCTGGTTTATGTTTACAGAGAATATTTCAATTCTGCCAATGCTTGTTTAGCAATGAGTATTTGCTCACATGTTCAGTGGAGGGCAGGCAGGTTATAAACCTTAGCCTTCTGTAAGCAAATTAATAGTGTGCTCTGAAGCATCTCAGTAAACAGAACTAGGCAGCAAGCTTGTGTTCACTTTATCAAATGCCCACTCATTTAACCCTTAGAAGAGTCCAATGTTCAACCTTTTGCTTGTTAACCAAGAAAACTAAAAATGAAGACTGAGATCTCACATGCTCAGGGGCAGGAGCTTTGGGACTACAGTCACCTGGCCACTCACCAATAGCTCTCTTGGCAACAGCTGGGGGGAGATAGGTTTTTCTGGGAGTAATTCAGCCCTTCTGGATTCACTCTGTTGTCTCAGAAAGTCTTTTCTGAAACTATTGTGGAACATATATTCTACCTAGGAACAGGACAGGATTGTCTACAGCAAAATGCTACCCATGTGATGTGCGCACCATTCAGATCATGACATTGTCCCTGAAGTCTTGCAGAAAAGTCTCTTTCTTCCTGTTCAGATGACTCAAAACCAGCCTCTTTTTTTTACTGCATGAACTATGTATATTCCCTGGATAAACATAAAGTTTCATTAGATGAGATCATTTTTCTGGAGAGTTTTGAAGAGCCTAAATAATAGAAACCTAGCTAGAAATGTCTCCAAGGCCATATTTGTGACATCATACTCGTCATGTTAAAACTCACCAGTCTACAGTCTAAGAACTGCATCAAATAATTTAATGGCTACATTTCAACCCTTGCAGATTTTGCTTTCAGAAATGGGAATGCAGATACATAAACTCCTGAACTCCTGTTCATTTCTGTCTGGTGGGCAGCTGTTAAGTGCCCATACACATCAGATGATCAATACCTTTCTTTTCCATTATTTTCAAATCCAGAAGATTAACTGGGATTGGTAGTGATATATTACTTGCACCCTCCTTCCTACTGCAGAGCAGATGTTGTCTCAAAAAAGCAGCCTGCCTTTGCAGTTCAGCTGTTGGGATTCAGTTACAGTTTACAGGAGCAGATGGTCACAAACCTGCTGCAACTTTGTAGGGTTATATTGATAGACCTTTTGTTAAACAAGTTAAGATAATGGTGTTAAAAACTCACAAGAAGTCAGAAAGAAAGAAGATATTGACATGTATCTAGAATAAAAGGGGTTTTCAAGAATCTTATTTTCTGCTGTCATTTTCCATACAGCTAGGGCCTGGTCCATTTCTGTACAGCCAGGGCCTTTGGAGTCAGTGGGAAAACTCCAATGTTTTCAACAAGCATTAGAACGTATCCCAGCTGAACTAGAAACATGGCAACACTTTTTTTGGTGAGAAGGTATTGCTATGAAATGAATGAATCGCAGTTACTAAGGAGAGCTAGTGTGACTCAAAGCCCTCCACAAAACCTGTGAAGTCAACAGCAATCTGTCTACTTCAAAAAGCTTTTAGAACCTATCTTCCCTCTTGCACTGTCTTTAATCACGCAGTCTTTGAACATCTTTCTTTCATCTTAACAAGAGGGCTTTGCAATTATTCGATGCTTGCAAGGAGAAAATTCATTTTGCAATGTATCAGAAAGCGAAGTGATATTTACCAAGCCAATTACCTATCTGTTCCTGGCTACAGATGCTGAGTTGCTTGGAACACATGTACCATGATCTTGGACTGGTAAAAGACTTCAATATCAATCCTATTACGTTAAAGAGGTGGTTGGTAAGTATTTAAATTACTCATATTTGAGAATTTTTAAAACCAAAAATTGATTAAGAAGACCTTTGGTCATGGAATTAACTGGGCTCACCTGAGGAATCCCACTGAAAGCAGACAACCTACACAAATTCTTAAAACTTAAGTACTTCAGCAAATGTTTGCAGTCTAATGGTCCCAGATAATATTTTTTTAACTGTTTTGCCTTTGGTAAGATTTCTATTATTGAGAGCAGTTAATTTCTGGTGAATGCTCTTGGTACCTACTGTAAATGGAGACATGACAAGCATTTTCAGATACAGCCAAAAAAGCCAGTATGTGCAATAATTATTAGATGTACTACACGGTGAGTAAAGGAGCAAGTCAGGAAGGAAAAGGAATTTCTGTGAAGCCAAATAACTTTTTTTGCTTTAGTCTTTAATGTTGAGAATGCTGCAGAGGTGCGAGACATGATAATGTTAAGGTCATACAAAACTAAGATGTCTGAAGAAGAAACACTGATCTAAAACCAGTAAGTTTTCAGGTCCAAGGGGCAGCATGAGAAAGCATTTACTGAAAAGCTGAAGAATATATTGGCTTTCTTAGAAAAACCTGCCACATTCCTAGAGAATTGTAGAACAGTAAATATTTTACCTGTTGTTTTAAAAGGATCTAGGTACAGCCCGAAGAATTATAGTTAGTAAAAATTACATCTTTACTTGCCAAATTTATTATTATAGTAATCAAAAACTTCATGATGTGAAATTCATTATACAGCTGTTTCATACAATTCCTGTGGCAAAGGCTCACATCTCATTAACCTCTTCTAGTTACCTGAAGAATATGCATAGAATAGTGGAAACCATTTTACATGGTGGATGTAGACTTCCAGAAGGGCCTGAACAAATTCCACAAGTTCAGAAGCTATTTAGCAAACACAAAGCAAACTCCAAATTCATCATACCATGAAGTACAGCAAAAGCAGAAAGCACCTGGGCATGAGCTTACACAGGACAGTGACTGTCACTGCTTGGTGTGCTGCTGCACAGTGAAGCTAAGAAGGCATAAGGCTGATCGGAGAATGGAAGGAGGGATAAAATGGACATGTGTTACCATGTCACTATAGAGGCATAAGGCTTACCTGAAATTTATTTCTAGGTCTTTTTAGAAACTTAGTATGACCACATTAAAGGAGATACAAAAAATGATCAAGACCTAGGAGCTCTCTCCCGAAGAAGGCAGATGAAAAGCTCAGTATTGTTGACCTTAGAAAGCAGCTGAACAGAAGGGGTGGGATGAAACCCAATGCAAACAAGGCTAGCACAGAGTAGATAAAACAGAAAATTTCCTCCTCCCGTTTCACAGCCTGAAAACATGGGGAACAAGGTGATATGTCAACACACATCAACATGCCACCCACATGCACTACTGCAGGCAGCTTCCTGTTAGCTTGCATCTCCAAGTAATTGGTTACCACTTGCATTTAAGACAGCCTTGTTCTGAACAAGGGGGCTTTATTATGTATTTTCCATGAAGGTAAGACAGGGTGAGATTTCCTTCCTTAAATGCTGACTTTGCAGAAAAAAAAGAAAAAAAAGATGATTAAAAAAAGCCTCAAGGATTCTACTTCAAACTATGATACTTCCCCAGGCACAGTATGGGCACCAGTTTGAACTTATGCCGGTGAGAAAAAGCCACCTCATGCATATGCTTGCTTTCTTGCTCCCACATCCACTGGCTACAGAAATCTTCCAGAAAGGGGAGGGACAGATGACTAATGCAACACAGTCACTCCAGTCCTTCAGTGCTCTGAGTCAGGAGCCCCTGGGATGCTCTGGGCTCCACTACTGGTTGTGTACATTACATCCATGCAGTGCTGTACAGTGCCTGGGCATGACCATGGTCTCTGTGCAGAGGTTGCGACATACTGCCCATCACCTGTGAGCCTCTCAACCACACTGTGCAATTAGTTTTCATTTTAAAATAATATAATGCATTCCTAAAGTCCTTGCTGCAGAATAATCTGAACAGCTTCGCAATGAACCCCCCAAATACTGAATAAGTATTGAAAACCCACAGTTCTCTTGACTTGATCCACAACTTTAAGGCTTCCTAGAAGTCAAGTCCCAAGTTGAAGGGTTTGATCCTGATGGGGCTTGAAGGCTCTTTAAAGTAAATTCACTATTCAGCTGGAGAAGGGGACACAAATTCTGCCCAGGTCATTAGTTCAGGCTCAGTAATTGAAGCGTGTGTATAAGGGCTCTCTAAGGGCTCTGGCGTGTGCATAAGGGTCCAGGTTATGGATGATTAAGCAGAAGGGGTCCAGCAGTGCTGCTGATGCTTGGGTGTTTCGTGCAGGACAGGACACCAAAGGCTCTCTAGTACATCGCAAGAATGACTGTGGCATGTGGCAACCCAGCTGTGCCAGCTTCACTCAGATAGCCCAGTTGACAGTAATGAGGACACATGGACACAAGCTCAAGCTCACAAGCTTGAGCTTGCATTTGTAAGAACAGCACATAGCCAGGATCTGTAGACAGTTAAAATCTGTCCCATGTGCCTATATGGCTTAATCTCTCCCATGCTGCATTAGCGTAGGAAATCCAAATAGGTAAGCCAGGGAATGTGCATTCATATCTTCACTTTGCCAAGCAACACATCCCAAAGTACTACCTCTGAGCATCTGCAAATGAAATAACAGCTACATTTCAGCCTTGAAGATTTCAAAGCTGCAATTTGCATTCAGCAAGAGAAGGGAACGGCGATATACTTTGAGTTCTTTACACACCCAAAGACACCATTTAACCACTGCACAGTTTGAAATACAAATTCAGGATGAGAGCACAGAGTCCTGTCTCAACACTGATAGGACTGTCTCACTTGACTGTGCTGGGATGTTTACCCATTGCTAGCTGGTATGAGAGAAGCTGCTATGAGCTTTACCTGCTGACAAATTCTTGAAAGGCAGAAAGTGTCAGAAGGTCTTTGTGCTGTCAGTCTGTCCTAGCAGAAAATAATACTGGGCTCCATGGGACACCTGTAGGGATATAAAGTGCTTCCAGGGAGTTTGGGAAACATCTATAATCATATGCTTATAAAGAAAGAGCTCTTCTCTCCCTGACTGTTTCATTCCCTCTGCAGCTGTGTATTCATGACAATTACAGAAACAACCCCTTCCATAATTTCCGGCACTGCTTCTGTGTGACCCAGATGATGTACAGCATGATCTCGCTCTGCAGCCTCCAGGTATGCCCTCCACCTCAATAGTATCACCCCATTTCCATCATGGGGCATGTGTTCATCCACTCAGTGCTATGACACCTGTGCCATTTTTCTTGCAAAACAGGCCACCGGCTTGCTAGCAAGCGATGAGCTTTGCAATATCTGCACTGGTTAGTCCCTGGGGCAAGGAGGAAGTGTTTCATTTCCACCTCTGTCTGCCCATTCAGCCATCCCATCCCAGATGTCAAGCACCTGCACAGCTTTCTGAGGGTGCTGGGATGCTACCTTCACCTCCTGAGTATCCCAAATCTGTACACTGAAGCTCTTCTTACACTCTGATAGCATGAAACATCAATGAATCAGATCCCAAAGCCTGATGAATTATGGTCTGTGGATATGGTCTTCATCTGTGACACAAAATATTCCCACGAGAGGTTTTCCCCAGATGTGTGCTTGCGCCTGGGTGAGCTACTTCAAATAATGCCTTGCATGTACAGTATGCAAGATTCTCATTCAACCTGTACGTTGTTCAAAACTATAGCCATAATTTATTTTCATTGGCTGGATAACTTGTGTCTATATTTTCATTTCATTTCTGTACAAACCAGATTTTGTTCAGTAAAAAAAACCCCTGTCTTCACCATAGTTAAACATCTCAGTTACTGGCTTAAGTATTTTCTTGCCAGTAGGGGTGTTAAGAAAAACTTTCTTTAATGGAAGTTTGCCCTATTCGGAAACTGTGGGAATGCAACACTTAATTTTTCTCACTTTCTATAACTTTAGTTAACGCAGAACGCAATAGCAACTAAGCTATCTTCCAGCCCTCCCCTAGCTAATCAGGATGCTCTAATGACTTGTAAGAGACTATACTAATATCTCAGTGCTTTTATAAGATCCCTGCAGTAATAACAAGTTTCAAGCAAATTGCCTCCTCTGAGCTGCTGTTATTTAGTGCAACAAAGGCAAATCTGAGTCATTTTTACTGGAAGGGAAGGCAGAATTCTTTCTTGACTGAAGCAAATTGATCTGTGGAAAAACACTTCATTTTGCTCAGATTTGCATTTCTCTAAAAAGTAAATGTGGGTGGGTTTTTCGCTTATATTCATTTATGGGGATAAGGGAAGTAGAAACCATAATACTACCGTATGTTCTGTATTTTACAGGAGAAATTTTCCCAAATAGACATCTTGATTCTCATGACTGCAGCAGTGTGCCATGACCTGGACCATCCAGGCTACAACAATACGTAAGTCTGTCCCTTAAAATTCATTGGGAAGGTAATATCAGCTGCAGTTTTGGTAGATCAGGTTCTCCTTCTCACGGCCTGAGCTGGCAATGACCTTCTCAAAGGCCCTGGTGTTTACTCACACATAGGCCAAGTAGCAGAGCTTCACGCACAAAACTCAGGTCTGGGTTGGGGCTGCCAGTTGTCCTTGGTTCTGTATGGAAAATGCTTTTTCATGTTTCTATTCCAACACTTTCCCCTGCTGCTGAGAAAACAAGGTAAAATATTGTACGATGAGAGAGAGGGAATAACTTATTATAGCTCTATTGACTGAAATGGAATAATTACATGAAAATGTGAACCATGATTTAACTTCCACAGTATTTCATAATTAAAAATAATGAAGTGCATGTTATTGTATTTATTATCATGTGATGAAATTATAATTGTTGACCCATGGACACTTTTGTGTGCATGTATGTGTGTGTGAACAAAAGAAAATTTAATTTATTTGTAACCATTCGTTAAATAAGGGCAGAACCCAATTCTGACTGGGATCAGTGAGAATCTCCCCGTTAATATTAGTGGGGGTTGAATGAAGCCCAGACAGTTCTTTCTTTTTTTGTCTTATGTCATTTTAAGATACAGACACCCGGTAAAATAAATAAAATAAATAAATAAATAAAATCAAAAAATAAACCAAAACAAGCCAAACCAAAACCCAAACCAACTTCTACAGGGGAATAGTGCCTGAGAGAACATTAAAATAAAATCTATCTTCTCAAAACATCTGATTTGGTATTAACAATCAAGAAGCAAACTGCATCTGATTGAATAAGTATTAAAAAGAATGTACATAAAAGTAAGCAGCATGGTTTAGAGCAGCTGGTGTGCATCTGCAGTAGTTCTCATTGTTTCTCTTCACATCAGCTATCAGATAAACGCACGGACTGAGCTTGCGGTACGTTACAATGACATCTCCCCGCTGGAGAACCACCACTGTGCTGTGGCTTTCCAGATCATTTCCCAGCCAGAATACAACATTTTCTCCAACGTTAACCAGGACCAATTCAAACAGATAAGACAGGTATGAATGCTGTTCCCCTCTGTGTCATACAAACTGTTCCTGAAGACAAAAGCACTCACAGACTTCCCTGTTGTACAATGCAAGTGAATCACTCTCCCTAGAGGGTAAGACTGAAAAAGCCCCTCACGTTGTAAGGATTCAAGAGGGATTCTTGGAAAATTTCCACAGCAGCACTCCCCGAAATGTCTTGCTGAGAAATAATGAGTACATCCTGACTATTAAAGCCTATGACATTTGGGGGATAGATATTTATATTATTGAATGAGCCATTAGCTCTGACTGGGAAAGGATTAAGCTCTCATGGCAGAAGATCATGCTTTAAGAGAACATTGTATTAATATTAAAAGAGACTTCAAAATGAGAAAAGTTTTACAACAGCAGAGCACTTGTACTGTTGGAAGAGGCTCTGGTGGACTGGGAGTCATCACGGTTATCTCTGAGAGAGTGAACAATGCTACAGTTCCTATTAGAGCTGTAAGGGCAAAAATTCAGGCTTAGTTTTCACACAAATGAAAAAGCATTTGTGCTTTTCGATACACACCAAATGAAAAAGCAGACCAATGTAAGGGTTCAGATACCTGTCTGGTTGGAGTTACTGATTCTGCCAGTGTACAGGAAGCAGACATGAGCCCAAAGTGGACAGATCTGTATGAAAACCTTCAACTTTAATCATGTTTACCCATCACAAACTCAACCTAGCAGGAGGATACCAAGCTCCTAACACATTGTCTGCATCGGGGTATTTCAAAACTCCTAATCCAAGGAAGATGATCACAGAGGCTGTGTTTAAACCACGACAAGGACACCTACATCTACTGATCTTTGTCACTTCCTAGGGCCCTTAAGAGTCAGCAGCAAAATCTGTAGTGCTTTCCAAGGAGCCAATAGTGGATCTTGGCAAGCAGAGCATCTTGTTGTACAGTTTGTTTTTCCACAATTAGTCAATCAGAAAAGAAAACCCTCAATGTCTCTGGAATATCACACAAATGTTACAGGCCAATCCAACCAGTATCTTCGTATACCATGAACTCTTTATAACCCTCTTCCAATTTGCTTGGCAGTTTCTGGTCAGAAACTTCCCCTTTAGGTATTAACTATGTACTGCAACTGAGGCTTTTTGTATGTAAGAAAGACTCTACTTTGCTCTGTAATAGCAGACTTTGTAAAGAATGTCAAGTTAATATGTGAACATGTTTTCTTTGCTAGGGGATAATTACATTAATCCTGGCTACAGACATGGCGAGACATGCAGAAATACTGGACTCTTTCAAGGAAAAAATGGAAAATTTTGATTACTCAAATGAAGAACACATGACCTGTGTAAGAGGTTTTCTGGATTATGATTTTTCTGTGCACAGTGTGAAAGCCTGTAGATTGAAATTTGTTTGTTTAAAACCCAAGATTCAATATACATTATTAAAAAACATAAATCCTTCTTACATTCTCTGCCCCACCAGAAAGAATTGCGATTTGAAAATGCTCTGTATAAGGTAGATTATTCCAGCTTTAGAAATCCTGGACTCTCATCAGGAAAAAAATTATATTTACTCTGTCAGGTCACAAAGTCATATTGTCCATTATGGTGGGGCAAAAAGTATCCACAAGAGTACAAACTCTAGTCTCCCCGACGTCCCAATCCAGTCATCTTTGATGTCCAGGGAAGTCTTCCCTAGCTACCTCTGAGTGCTCCACGAACAACCTCATGATCATTTGTGGCTGAATCTCTTCATATAGCAGATAAGCACATGTCCCACTGTGACACAGCAATGCTACAGACAGGGAAACCAAGGCAGAGAGGGGATAAGTGATTTACAGAGTAACTGAGAGAGTGGAAAAGAATCCAGATCATTTAAGGCCTCTGATTTCATCCTAAAACTGTCCATTCCGTTTGAAAGCATTGCCTCCCAGTGCGTTGTAAAGAGAAAGGCTCTGAGTAGGGAAAAAAAGGGCTGGCATTAAGACTGCAGTATTAAATTATTATCTTCTTTCAGCTGAAGATGGTACTGATAAAATGCTGTGATATCTCCAATGAAGTCCGCCCAATGGAAGTAGCAGAGCCCTGGGTAGACTGCTTACTAGAGGAATATTTTATGCAGGTAAGAATGAGGGAGGGCTGCTCTTCCTGAATCCCACCTCAGCTACAGGTGCTCTGTCTCTGACAGACCAGTATAGTTCTAGGATGGGAAGACTTCTTTTGCAGAAAGTTGGAGAAGGATGTCAACAAGAGAAGCTGTTCAGAAAGCAAATGAATGTGATTTGCAGATGAAATACAGCAGCAACCTAGAAATCCTAATGCTAGCAGACTTAAGCTTATTCTCTGTAAAGCAAGTTTGCTTGACATATAAATGATTTCTGAGACAAAAGGGCAAGAGCAATGGCAAGAGAAACTTGTCAAGTAAATTATCAAATATCACATAGGAACTAGTTTAGATACTCTTCACTGCATGTGAACATCACAGTCTGCAAAGTCAGACTTCAAGCTTCACAAACCATTGCTCCTCACTGGATTCCCAGCTGAATGCAGTTTCTGATTGCTTAAGAAAAGATCCCTGGAACAGAAGCCCTCAGCTATCCCTGGCACATAGGCTCCCAAGCTGCATGTACATGCTGCAGCAGTGGGATCTCGGTCAACACATGGCTGCAGTGCTCCAAGGAGGAGATGCCAGAGCCATCTTTTGTGTTTTGTCTGTATTTTGATAGGGTTCATGCCAAGAAGATCTCTTGGATGATGTGTCAGAAACACTTCTAGCCCACTGCATTTCCAGCTTTTTACTCAAAATTACAGTATCCATGTGCCTTACTATTTTGGCTATCCAGCAAAGACACTATGTGCCGAAAGACCCAGTAATTGAGAGAGAAAATCTGCTACGGGATGTATTTTTTGCATACACTGTCTATGACCTCCTTGCACATGAACCCACAGACATAGACACAATAAGTTATGTGATCAAGTATGTAGCTTGGTAAACTTTTTGCAGTCAATTGAACTGCTCTCCATTGACCTAGCTATCCAGAACTAGTTTTAATACTTGGTAAAGAAGGAGGTGTAATTTCTCATTGAATACCTGAAAATAATCACTCTCTGGAAAATCAAAGACCTATTCTTTCTCTTCCAGAGTGGCAAGAGCCATTACCGCCCTTCTGAGTGCCCTGAAATATTTCACCTCATAAATCTCATAGATCTGGAAAGGGAATCGAGTGGCCTTGTTGACCTGGAAGCCTGGTCAATGTTTTCATGCCAGTGCTGTGCAGAAGTAACTGAACAGAGTTCTCTATTCAGAAACTTGCACTAAACAACGAAGGATGCATTAGCCCAAGGGAAACCTATTGCTATTCTGTGCTATCTTCAGACACCACTGAGATCTCTATCTGAAGCCTACTGCTCTTTAGCTAGTAGCAAGCTAATGCTTGTTACATTACAATCCTTAAAGGCTTCCAGCCATGATTCATATTTGTTCTCTCTGGATTTGTTCCAGAGCGATCGAGAAAAATCTGAGGGGCTTCCAGTGGCACCATTCATGGACCGTGATAAAGTGACCAAGCCAACAGCACAGATTGGCTTTCTGAAGTTTGTTCTCATCCCCATGTTTGAAACGGTAACAAAGGTAAGCCACCCAAGTCCAGAAGCAGAAGCGGGGCTTGCAGAGCTTCAGTATTTGTTGCCTCAGGTGTTTAGCTAGCCAGGGAAATGGGGATGTACAATTCACACCCTGCTTTTCACCCCATTTCCAGCACATACAAGTTAATAAATACAAAATGAAATGTTGATATTCTTTCCTTATTTTCACCTAGCTGTTCCCAGAAGTGGAGGAGGTAATGCTCCAGCCCCTTTGGGAATCCAGGGACCACTATGAGGAATTAAAACAGATAGATGATGCTATGAAAGAGGTAAGCTCTAAATATCTCTTTGATAAAGCAAATGTTAGGATTGAATAAGTCAAACATTATAATTTAATAGCAGCTTAATTCTGAAACATTAGAAATACTTATGGCATAACCATTACCATGAGAAACACGGTTATTCCTGGCTGGGTGCGTACCACAAGCAGTAAGTGTGCACATAAACATGCCCTTGCCAAGTCCACCAGGCACCACACAAGTACATCCTTGTGTATGAAGGGAACTGCCTGTGAGAGAGGGACCTCAGACCAAAACCCAAAAGTTACTGCCTGAGCGGAGCGCGTTATCAAACACCTCTTCCTGAAGGGAGCTGCCTTCCCCTGGGAAGGAGTTATCCTGGGCTACATTGCTGTGAAATGTCCTGGGGTTGGGCAGCTCAAGGCACCACACCACCAATCCATACGTTTGTTTTCTAGGAAGAAACTTCCACTCACGTGTCTGTGCTTGAAATTCTATGAGGAATTACTCTTTCATACACAGCAACTAGTAGGATTAAACACACAACTGATAAAGCTATTTTATGGCCCATGCTGAGTGGCAACCTCCATTTACAGTGTATCTCATTTTGACATTTAAGGCTCAGGGGACGTAGGATATATATTTAACCATGTTTTCTGCCTCTGACCATGTGTGCATTGCCTCAGGCATGCTGGCCTGGCTCCCACAGCATCCTGCAGCCTGTGACATCGAGCATGCCCAATTCCCTTGCACACCGAGGCAGACAACAAAACCTGCCCAAATGGCATCACAGCGTAGATGTTTTCTGACATGAAAAAACTGATCATGTAGACAGGATACTATCAGTCACTCTGTCATTAAAATAGATTGTGAAGTGCCCTGGCATAGTAGTTGTGATGACATTGTTTGGTATGTGGGAAATGAAGATTTACTCACTTGATCATCCTTGCTGTAGCTGCCACCTCCTCCCAAGTGCTTAGGAGAAAAAGCCCTTCAGCAGCACAGATTAATCAAAGAGAGCATGCTTTGAGGACACTAAGTTATAAAGGAGAAGAAAGTCTTTTAGGCATTCTGTAGTTTAGAGAGGAGCATTTCTCTAAGGAGGGAAGAAGAACTTCCTGAGTCCTGCTCATGTTTCAAGTTGAGCTGAGATTTTACTTCTGGTTTACAGAATCTGTCAAACAGAAATTCTATACGAACTGACAGAGCTTTAACTATGGTGCATTGGCACAAGGGTCTTAGAAAAATAGGAGCTGTCTGAATTCTGAATTCAGAAATATCCTGAAGCAAGAAGAGTTAGTTAATAATCTAAGAGCCTAGCATGGCAGATGATGAGGAAGACTGATTTGTGTTTACTCAGGACATACATCCAGAGGAGCTTAGATGAAACGGTGCCTGTGATATACCAAGATGCTGCCTATTATTTCCCAAACAGTGTTGCACATACCTTGTGAAGAGATGAGCTTTTGACTGACAGCAGCAGTGCAAAGCAGCACTGTGTGAGTCAGGGTATTAATGCTCCTTTGCTCTTCCTTTCAGTTGCAGAAAAAGAAAAGTGACAGTTTGACCACTGGAAGTACTGAAAAGTGAGATGAAAAGGTCTGAACAAGACACAATCCCTGAGGTTATTCTGGTTTTGAGAAGTGCTCTGTTTGCCAAACAGACGTGGTGGCTACATCAAAATCCAACTGGGACCATGTACACAGCAGTGGTGGCAGGCACAGATGCCTCACAGACCTGTCTGCCTGCCTGGGCGCCTTGTCTACAGCCTGCAGCCTCCTGACATTGGCACTTCCAGCATCAGCACCAAGGATTCCCCATGTTCCGGCATGTCCTCTGCTGCGCACATTGCACGTGTTTCAGCACAGCTCAAATCTTCAGCAGGTTTGCCTTTCTGGTGACCACATTGACTGCAGTGCGCAGAGACAAAGCAGTTTAGCTAAGGAGCCTTTTCTGGAAAACAAGCCACTGGCACCCAAAACCAAACGAAACAGTTGGTTTAGTCAAGATATAACGTATGTGTGTACAGCAGTATGCTAATTACAGCATAGCTTAACAGATGCTTATATTCTGACAAGGGTCCTGGCATATATTTTTGTGTGCCTATTAGGCCCTAATGACACATTTCTCTGTATTGCTCTCTGAATTTTATAGTGTTCACAGTACATTCAGAAGCCCAGCATAGTGGACTCATACACTAGAAGAAGTCAGAAGAAACCTCAGTGAGTTTGCAGGTTCTTTCTGTGGCCTAGTACGATTAGACATCATGGGATCCTTCAGCATGAGCAAAGGAGTACGAAGCTGAAACCACTGTGCAAGCAAATTTTTATCCTCATGGATGCAAAAAGCACCAATGAGAAAAGCCTTCAAAGATGTACAGATTTTTTTTTTTTTTTACTTTTAAACTGATCTGCTAAATAATATATTCTTCTACAGAAATGGCTGTTGTGCTTGTTTTCTTTTGTGTGTGTTCAGGTGAAAACTGTATCTGTTCATAAAGACAAACACTTTCATAATGAATACAAGGGGCTGTAAAGGAGAGGTGAGTCTTGGGGGAGAATCTCTAGAAACATTCTCTGTGGTATCCTTGCATCATAAGTGCAACACCAAGAGATCTTCACTTCCACTGATGACTTTACTTTGTCATCAGTGAGCCATTGCTGGCTCCAGGGATGCAAGCTCTGCCCGGAGCTGCACTTGTGCGGATAGCCAGCACTACTGTGATCAACTCCTGTGCACCACCTTCCCAAAGGGGAGGCCAGAAGAAACCCCCTTCCTCATGGCTACAAGAGGAGAGCCCCCACCATGCTGCTCACCTGATCCTGGCTTTTCCCACTGCGGAAAGGTCATACTGCCTTGGGGTTTCAGCGGTGAGTATCAGTTCCTGTCACAGCGTGGCTGATGAGACCAGTGATTCACGTGCATTTGCTGGCATCCCCCCACTAACAGCCATAGGCATGCAGCCAGGGAAGCATGATGCAAATTGCTCTTGTCCTCCTTGGCTCAGTTCTTGAGGCTGCCCCATCACTTTGCTAGGTATGATAGCAATAAGGGTGACATTAGTGCTTTGCCTTTGCAAAGTCCGAAGCCGCATGCATTGTCTTACCTTGCTCTTCAAAAGAGATGAATGGGTGGGGGCCAGTCTTTCCCCCCATGACCCAGGAAGCACCTTAGGAAGGTCAGCCTCTCTGCAGTGTGTCTGCTACGAAGCTCAGCCCTGAACAGAAACTCAGCCTTCTGCTCTGGAAATTCAGATTTATTCTCCTGTTGTTTCTGCAAATTAATTCTTAGCTCAACTCTTGTTTCTCCACCAGTGCCATTGTCTGGTCTCTTTCTTGTGCATAAAACTGTACTACTTTGAGTACTCTCCAGTCGCTCAGGGAGAACAGTATTATCTTGAAACATCCACCTCTGTACCCTATTTCTACTTGCACACTTCTAGAGACCCAGGACTAGCTCATGGCCAGTGCTCTCTGCTGCTTCCTCTTTCTGCCTAGGTTGCTTTCTCCTTTAAACAGCTTTGTGTGTGTGGTTTTGGGCTTTCTACTCCAAACTAGAAAAGGGTCTGATCTCTGGATTTGAACAGTCCAGGGGGACTCCAAAGGAGATGGGAAGATCCAAGCACAGGGTCAGCTCCAAGCTACACAGACATCTTCATGAATGGATGAACTAAGCCCTAGTTTTGATTAACCTCAAACTTTTGATGCTTGAAAGTTGGATCTTAATTATGTGGTTTGGGCCTTATTTCTGTACTAAATCTTATAATCCAAAGTACATTGTGACCCAGATTGTTCTGCTGTGGAATTCTTTACTTTGTTTTCACAAGTAAATCAAATTTGCCATCTCCATTCAAGCAGATTTCCGTCACAAATCAGCTCCCAGAGCAGATGAGCTGTGCAGGAGCTAGAAACAATTGCTTAGGATATGCCAAGTCCTGCACTGAGCTAGTTAGTTACACTAGATGAGAAAACCTGCTGTAGGAACTCAACTGCACTCTCCTCCCAGTACAACTGTTTAAGAATTAGATCCTGATAGGAAGTTTTGTTTCAGCTGGTAGGATTTTTGTCTAACCATAAACCCTAATCCAACAAGTGTTTATGCATATGCTTAACTCCCACAAGCCTAGTCATGGACCCTGGCATGCAGTAGCTAATTGAATACTGCAGGCTCCTTGGCTTTCTCTAATTGAAGTGCATGGGAGCTTCAGAATTGGTGGCCCTTGGTGCTTGTTTTGGCTCCATCATTTTTAAGAACAAGCTGAAAACAGTTTATTGGAGGGAGATGACCAGAAGATGTTGGTGAAATCCCACTGTCTTCACTGGAACTGCATCAGAAACGTGGAGTAGGGAATGCAACCTGTCCTAAGGGCTGCATTAGTGACAGTCATGACCCTGTAACACACTGTGTGGCTTACTGAAAGAACAGGCCATGTCCAGGCTGCTTTTCATAGACAGCTCTAAAAAAGACCACAGGCAATCACAACCAGCTATCAGTATAAATGGAATACCACAGCATTTTTTAAATCTCATTTGCCTTTGTAATATTAGATTTGTAACAGACAATCCTCCCAACATATTTTTAACCAAGGGGAATGCAAGGCATTCTCTTATAATTCTAGTTTCTTGTGCTTTTTCCATTATATTTGATGCTGTGATTTGCATGCAGATTAATGGATTTGAGAATCTTGGCAATCAGCCCATTAAAATGTCACACATTTTCAGGGTGACATTTTGAAACTACACTTAGCATGAAAATGAAGTTTTTTGAGGCAGCCAGACAGACGTCTCAAGTGTGATTTAATCTTTTCTCTCCCTAATCTGATGAATAAGCATGAATATTATACCTCACTGTTGTTTCAACTCACGGTAGGTGGCTTGAAAGAACTTTCTATGAGCCGTTGCATGCATCTTTTCAGCCTTACGACAGTGCCACATGAACCCCAGCCTTACCTTGCTGCTCCTATGCTTGCGATCAAAGATGAGCATGTAACAGGTTATAACTATTCCATGCCATCTGACATGGAAAACTAACAATGAGCCCTGGGATTTTTCTTAGTATTTTGGTTTTAAATGATGGCTCCCACAGCCACATACACACTTCATTTTTTAGTATGGTTTTCATAATCAGATCAAACTGAGGCTATAGCATAACTGCGTGCCTTGGGAAGGAAACAGATTTTTTAAGATGTGAATACCCCCACAGCAGCCAATTTGCAATGAAAATTTAGTGTGTGTTAAATACACAGCTTATGTAATGCCAAAGAAGTATCTGTAACATGGAAATTGTTCATCTCTGCTGCCTCTGAGCAGCAATAACAACAGCATCTGTTCCATATGGGAGTGAGGCACAGTGCTGGTGCAGGGTATGAGTCCATCAGGAGAAGCACTGTCAAGCAGCATTTCATTTTCCTGTTTAAACAGTGGGCTTTTACTGCAAACTGCCCCTCCTCTCTGGAAATACCTGAAGACAAGTCCTACCTTTGTGCCTGGTTTGTGGCATTAAAAGCATGCACACTTGTTTTCATTCTCCTCGTATATTGTTCTGTTTTGGTGCAAAAGTGAGAGCGCAGACACAGTGGGGCAAATCACCGACCCTGAGAATGCAAAATCTCACCTCTTTACTGCACTACCATCTCCCTGATCTCCCTGTGGCAGGCAGGGTATAGAACACAGCAACATGCCTGTTAGCGGCAAGGAGCACTCAAGCCCCAGGCTGCAGAAAGGATACATGTGCAAGGACAGACTGATGTCAGGGCATGCAGTGCTGCTCTGACTCCCAGTGTAAAATCATTACTTTCCAAGAGGTTGCCCTGGAATAAGGCGCATCCCAGCTCCAGGTTGTGGTCCAGAAGACACCGGTCAGGTCCTGCCCTCCTGAGCCACCCTTCTGTTTGCACAACCCTCTACCATGCAGCACCCTAGCAATTAAGGTTGTTCAGTGCCAGCAAAGTGAAGGAAAGACTTTCTGAAGTGTGTTTAAGACAGCCTAGATGCTGCTTTTCAAGGCACTGTGGCAGTGCAGCAGGTGATCTCTCCTTTCTCTCAGCTCTCCAGGGGAGTGACTAGGCAGAGGTAAAGCCTGTACTCTGAAAAACTGGCACATTGGAGTCCTGGTCTGTGTGTGCGTTCTAGGATAACACAAGAAACCAGTAAGTCTTAATAGCAAACGTACATCTGCCACTGGCTTCAAACACGCTGTAGAGCCAGTTACCAAGCCAGAACTTCCTTCTTCTTTCAGAGACCCACCTCTGTAAAGCAGCTTGTGGTATTTGGATGCAAAATGCTCCTAACTGCAAGAACCAACAGTTACCATCTTCAGAAAATATGACTTCATAGAAATTTCTGTCAAAAAACCCCTCACTAAACATCTTCATAAATGAAGAAGCTGTACCCCACAAGTCAACCATCCCTTTCTTGGTGACCATGTTGTAGTAGATCTGTCTCTTTGCTAGTTAGAAGTAATAGTTCTCACTCTCACACACACACACAGAGAAAAGCTTTCTGACTATTTTGGCATGTAATCAGGAGTTACAGGTGTACTCGGGCACATGCTTATACACAAAATGGCTATCTGCAGACGTTTTTGTAATACGGCTTTTGGCTCTTTTGCAAGACAAACTTAGAACCAGGAAGGTTTGGAAAGTGTAAACTGGTCTCATCACAGCCAACATTTGATATAATGTCTCAGAGGAAAAATCTCTGTTTTCCAAACTTTGTGGAAGCACAGTTACTGCCTGGCTGACAGATCCCCTGCCATAAAGGAAGCTCCAACGTGACAGGGACTTGCAGCAGCTCTGTCTTTCTAAGCAAAGAGAGCTTGCTCTAAGCCCTCTGATGGTGTTCTGGGCTCAGGACATATGGGATGCGCTCCAGGCTACAAAACACAACAAGAAAATTGACAGGGAGATCAAGGAAGAGCCTAGGGCAGGTGCTGATGTGCCAAAGCTTGCTCATACCAGGAGTCTGGTGCATCCTTCCCCATTGGCAGCTGTCCCTGCACTGCTTGCCAGTGCCATCCAGTGCATCTGGACTTTCACAGTGCCTCCAGGGCTAGGTAGCAGGGTCTGGCTGCAGGGATATAGCTGCTTACCTTGGGGAAGAGCTGAAGAAATGAGTTCCTAAAGGTTATGGGATAATAAATCTAAACCAGCCTGTACTTCAGAAAGTTCACTGGGGTGACGTGTGTGTCATAAACAACAATTCCATTTCTTGCACATTGTATTTTTTCCCCTCACTTGAGACTTTGATCCTCCTCGTCATGCTGGCTACCGTGAGTACTGCCAAGGGCAGGTCTCCAGCTTCACTCACTCATCCCAGCTCCTTCGCTTGCAGAAGACTCACCACTCGTTTTAGGGAAGGTGAGCCAGGCTGCATCATCCAGACCTAGTGGAAGCTGGCTATGCTTTGCCAGAGAACGGCAGCAAGTTTCTTCTCCATCTGGAAGACAGCCTGCGTCCAGACAAATCCTGGTTTGTAGGACTTCAGTGATAAAAAGTAAAGGAATCTCCCCTTTATTTATAGTTCTTGATTTTACCCTACCAGTCATTTCATTTATTCATTCCATATGGTGATTTATTCATTGACCTGTGTTTCATGTTGCCATTTTCACCCATGCAGAAGGCACCGGCTGCTGCCTGAGTGCTGTACAGTGCTAAGCACCTTCATGAGAGACTGGGCTATGACAGGTCATCCAGCTTCATCCGCTGGCAGGTACACTTAAAATCAGCAAAAATGCATTCCTGTGAACCTGACCATGCACAAGTCCATGGGACCTGATGAAATCCATCTGCAGGTCCCGAAGGAGCTGACAAATGAGGTTGCCAAGCCACTGTCCATCATATTTGAAAAATCATGGCAGTCAGGTGAAGTTCCCAATGACTGGAAAAAGGGAAATATAACCCCCATTTTCAAGAAGGGGAAAATGGATGACCCGGGGAATTACAGACCAGTCAGTCTCACCTCTGTGCCTGGCAAAATCTTGGAGCAGATTCTCCTGGAAGGCATGCTAAGGCACATGAAAATCAACAAGGTGCTTGGTGACAGCCAGCATGGCTTCACTAAGGGGAAATCCTGCCTGACCAATTTGGTGGCCTTCTATGATGGGGCTACAGAACTGAGGAACAGGGGTAGAGCAGTTGATGTCATCTACCTGGACTTGTGCAAAGCGTTCGACACTGTCCCACACGAGATCCTTGTCTCTAAATTGGAGAGACTTCAATTTGATGGATGGACCACTCGGTGGATAAAGAACTGGCTGGATGGCCGCACACAAAGAGTTGTGGTCAATGGCTCAACATCCGGCTGGAGACCAGTAATGAGCAGTGTCTCTCAGGGATTGGTGTTGGGACCGGTCTTGTTCAACATCTTTGTCACTGACATGGACAGTGGGATTGAGTGCGCCCTCAGCAAGTTTGCCGATGACACCAAGCTGTGTGGTTCGGTTGATACGCTGGAGGGAAGGAATGCCATCCAGAGGGACCTTGACACACTTGTGAGGTGGGCTGATGCCAAACTCATGAAGGTTAACCATGACAAGTGCAAGGTCCTACACCTGGGTCAGAGCAATCCCAGGCACAGCTACAGGCTGGGCAGAGAAGAGATTCAGAGCAGCCCTGTGGAGAAGGACTTGGGGGTGCTGGTCGATGAGAAAATGAACATGAGACAGCTTCAGTGTGCGCTTGCAGCCCAGAAAGCCAACCGTATCCTGGGCTGCATCAAAAGGAGTGTGACCAGCAGGTCGAAGGATGTGATCCTGCCCCTTTATGCTCTCGTGAGACCTCACTTGGAGT